TCAAAAGCCGCTCATATAACCTCTGACGTGACCTCAACTACAACTGATCAGATTTTCATGTAGTAGAAGCCATCAGAAGTATAAAAAAATAAACAAAATATAGATCTGTATTTTAATCAGATTGATGAAAATATCGACTACACCAGTTCCTTGAAAAAAATTAGATAAAAGCGATTACCGGTATTAATACATGTACACACCAAAATCAAACCAAGATTTGTGAATGGCTTTCAAACCGTTTACTAGTTTAGGGGGTTCAGGCAGTCTAAGTGCTAAAGCTTTAAAAATTTTTTTACATGTATCATAACAAATGGCAGGGAATAGATTAGAATGTCATAGATGTAAAATCTCATGTGGTGAAATTAACCATATTTATTCACTCTCTAGTCCCTGAGGGGATGCTTGATTGACAGTCCATTAACAGAATAGTAATCAAGTGACACAGATTTCAGTCCTGTCAGTTTCGTCAGTCCCGACCACGGAGGTGGTGTGAGTAGAATTGTGACGTAATTAAACACAACAAATATGTTTCGGCTTCATGGTTGGTTAAGATATTATCTTAGGCAGTCGGCCCATGCATTGTAGCCCAAAATCCCCCTTTTCACTCAATTTTGATTAATTTTGGAATTTATATAATTCAATTCCAGGACACTCAATCAAGTACCCCCAAAGTCTACAATACATAAAGGGAAATAACTCCAAGGCCTCCAATAACGAATAAAGGGGAGAAAACTCTGCCATGAAAGGCGGCAATGACACACCATGTATGTAGGATATGATGGGATATAATTACTATATAATAATTAATACCTGTACAATGGTTGCTTATCCTTTTCACATGATTTATCTAGTTCACTGGTAAAAGCTTCCAGGGTAGCTCTATGTGAACGTTCATCAATTTGGACAACAAAATCTTCTGGTGAGGTGGCTAGTACCACAAAAACTTGTACCTTCTGCTCTGGTGTTAAACTCTGTACAATTGTGGGTACATCCTTTACCAATATCTTTGATGCACTTGAATAAAAATTTTAATCAATCATTTTTTTGCCCCACAATATATATTGCATTGGAATTATACAAGGCCAAGAAGAGATTGGGAGAGGGAGAGATTTAGATCCACTTGACACAAACTAGGCCATTTTAGGATTTTTTAGCAGTGGGATGAAACTGGAGGACCCGGAGAAAACCCACAAGGTTAGACAGGTGACCCTACTCCTTGTCACGTACAACCCGGGAATCGAAAACCACGGCAGTTGACTCAATGACAGACCTTAGGATACAGCGCACATGTGTTAACCATTCGGCCACTCAACCCCCCTTTCGCGCAAGCAAATTATTGAAATAAAATTGAACCATGTGTTAGTCCTGAAATGAACTAGTCTGTGTCGAGTGGACGTTAAACTAACTCTCTCTCTACTTTGTTAATGAGACTATAAGCTGTGTAGTATGTGAATAATGAGTTGATACTTACCCAATAGTTGTAGCAATCTTAGCTTTAATCAGCTGCTTAGCTATATCATTCCCTGAAATAAATAAACATATCATATAGTTATTGTATTTACTTATTAATTCAGTATGAGCCTTTTGCTGATTAAATATTACCAAGTCAAATAATATTTATTTTTCCAGGGAAATATATATTTTTTGTGGAAGGACACATGATGGTGATAAATATGATTTGGTCTTGAAGAACTCAATGAAACTTTGTACCTACATCAAATGAAATAAAATGAAATGAGGTTTAACGTCCTACTGTTCTGCTCCGACTGGACTAATGAAGATGGAAATGAAATGAAATGGGGTTTAACACCTACTGTTCTGCTAATGAAGACGGGCACATGCCATACAGTGTGCTATGAGGGAAATTTTGCCCAGACAGCGGCACTATGGCCTACTCTTTTATCCAATTCCAACTGTCAAGGGATCTTTTACGTGCACGCCAATATGTATATTGGACCTCAAATTTTAATCCCATCCAAACGATTAGACAGCTGTCCTTGTCAGGCCCTCTGTCCTGCATCCTGGAAAGTCTGGATGAACTTTCTCGGTCAATGAAGGGATCGAACACCCAACCTCCAGGATAGCAAGACAGTGTCTTACACGCTTAGCCGTCACCCTCCCTACCCCCGAAACGTTGTACACACATCAACCTATTATAAGCGTTGTTATACTTATAGCTACTTAGAAATTAGTGATAATTACCATTAGCATCTTTAACCTTGACATAGAACAGCGACCGTTCTCTCTTAACAATGTTAATAGTACACTGTGTATTTGGTTGAAGAAAATGTATTAAACAATCACTTGGCCAGCCCACTGTTTTATCTACTGGAACGATTCCATCCACTTTACATCTAATAGCCTAAAAGTTGAAATAAAGAAATGAAATGGGGTTTAGCGTCCTACTGTTCTGTGCCGACTGGGCTAATGAAGACGGGCATACACTATACAGTGTGCTATGAGGGAAATTTTGCTCGGGCAGCGGCACTATTTTTACATGAATGCCAATGTTTACATGGGGCCTTGGTTTTTCGTACCATCCGAACGACTAGACAGCTGTCCTTGTCAAGCCCTACATATGACATGCATATTTTTCTTTCTCTTGTAGGGTGCATCCTATAATTAACTAGCACACAGTGTAATGGTGGATCCAACCAATAAATCTCACATTACAAGACCCAATAAATAACAAGATAAATAAGTAGAGAATTATAACTACTGAACAAATAATAGTGTATAAATAACCCAACCTCCCCAAAATTGCAAAGACTGGACACCATGATAGAGAGAGAGAGAGATTGAGAGAGGGAGGGAGGGAGAGAGAGGGAGAGAGAGGTTTTAACCTCCACTCGACACGGTGGCTAAGTGGGTAAGACGCTGGCTCGCTAGTCTGGAGGTCGGGTGTTCGATCCCTGCATTGGCTGAGAAAGTTCATCAGGATTTTCCGACGTGGTTTCCCCTTGTCAGTGATGCAGGATGGAGGGGCTGACAAGGACAGCTGTCTGTCATTTGGCTGAGACGAAAAACCAAGGTCCTGTGTTAACATTGACATGCAAGTTAAAGATCCTTGGACAGTTTGAATTCGATAGAAGAGTAGGCCATAGTGCCGCTGCCCAGGCAAAAGTAACCTCATAGCACACTGTATGGCATATGCTCATCTTCATTAGCCACGTCGCTGCAGAAAAGTATAACGTTAAACCTCATTTTATTTCATTTCATTTCATTTCTTAATTCTTATAAATGAAATGGGGTTTACTGTTCTGCTCCGACTGGGCTAATGAAGATGGGCATACGCCATACAGTGTGCTATGAGGATAATTTTGTTTGGACAGTGGCACAATAGCTTCCTCTTATATCGAATTCCAAATGTCAAGGTTTTTTTTTTATATGCACGCCAATGTGTACACAAGACCTTGGTTTTTGGTCCCATCTGAAGGACTATATTTCTAATAATGTTAGCCAATGCATCTTTATCAATATCCTACTAATAAACTTACCAGAGGGCAAAAATCGGTCATGGTTCGAGGTAACGGAAACAGTCGTTGTAATGGTACATTCTCACAATTACCAAAATCCAGGTAAGCTATTTTCACCTGCTCAGGGCTAGGAACTGCAAGAACTTTACATCTACACCACTTCTCTTCAAAATTACATGCAAACAGCTGACCAAAGCTTGGTACACCTTTTATACATGTTGTGATGGCAGTTTTCTAAAAAATAGAAATGAAATGAAATGAAATGGAGTTTAACGTCCTACTGTTCTGCTCCTAACCTGGGCTAATGAAGACGGGCATACGCCATACAGTGTGCTATGAGGGAAATTTTGCCCGGACAGCGGCACTACGGCCTACTCTTATATCGAATTCCAACTGCCAAGGGATCTTTTACGTGCACGCCAATGTGTACACGGGACCTCGGTTTTTTGTCCCGTCCGAACGACTAGACAGCTTTCCTTGTCAGCCCCTCCGTCCTGCATCACTGACAAGGGAGAACCACGCCGGAAAATCTGGATGAACTTTCTCGGCCAATGCAGGGATCGAACACCCGACCTCCAGGCTAGCGAGCTAGCGTCTTACCCACTTAGCCACGTGATCCCCCCTAAATAGAAATAAAATGACATTTAACTTCCTACTCGACCGGTAGTGATGTGCGGTTTTTCGGTTTAACCGTATGGTATCGGTTTTTACATATAAACCGAAAACCGAACCGATAAAACAAAAAATAACTGCGCATTTCGGTTTATTTTTTTCCAAATTCCTAATTTGTAATTTACCTGTTTTTCGTTTCGGAAATGTTTGAAAAATTTATAATTTTTATGTAGCAGTACTTAATAATTCAAAAATTTTAATGTAGCCACCACTTCCGTTTTTATTTTCAAGCAACCAGACCCCCTATGTATAGAGTGTTGAAATAAGTCTGGATGGCCTAGACTATTTATTTTCTCAATTTGGTTCGGTTTATAAACCGAACTTTTATGCAAGCCTAAGCCGGTTGTCAATAACGCACGATGGCTTCCTCTAAAAGTAAAATGAATCCATGGCTTGCTCACTATGAAAGATTAGATGACACAAAATGTAGATGTATTCTTTGTAAATTTATGTTTATTTATTATTATGGTGTTGTGTTTGACAAAGTTTGTCAGATCTTTTTTTACAGTAACTTTATTGGTAATATGTCGTTATGTTAATTTATTATTATGGTGTTGTGTTTGACAAAGTTTGTCAGATCTTTTTTCACAGTAACTTTGTTTTTACTAGTCATAATCGAAGTCATATAACAGTAAAAAAAACTTGTTGTTTACAATTTACATCAATATGTTTGATATCTTTTCTAGCTTCCATGTATTCCTGTAAAATAACCATAAATCAGTACATTCATAATACAGTGTTTAAATGAATTTAAAAAAACTGAAAACTGAAACCAAAACTAGGTTTTTTGCCACAGAAAAACTGAAAACCGAAACCGAAAGAAAATTTAAAAACTGCACATCACTATCAACGGGCTAATGAAGGGAAATTTCGTGCTGAGATTGATGCAACAGCCTGCTCTTATTTCGAATTCCAAGTGTCATGGGACCTTTATGTGTATGACAATGTATACACAGGACCTTGTTTTTGTCCCATCCGAATGACAAGACACTTTACTTGTCAGATCCTCTTTCCAGCACATAGACAAGGGGAACTGCACAGGAAAATCCTAGGGAACTTTTACAACCAACATCGGCCCTGAACCCGGGTCCTGCTTAGTGAGCCAGTCTTACTCACTGATCCACCGTGGCTCAAAGATATCGATAAAGAACACCCAACACAAACTAGGTAACATCGGGATTAATATATGGTTCAATTTCATTTAAATAATTTTCATGCGCGTAGGGGTCTTTAGCAGTGGGAGGAAACCCGAGGACCTGGAGAAAACCCACGAGGTTGGACAGGCAACCCTACTGTTTGTAATTTACAACCTGTGAATCGAAACCACGCCAATGGACATTATGATACAACGTGCACGTGCTAACCATTCGGCCATTCAACTCCCCAACATTGATAGCAGGTTTAAGATCCTCTAGCTATTTTAATAAATGTTAAATAAAAACTTACAAGGTTCTCGCCAACACTGAAAGATTTTTCCAGATCTTCAATCAAACACACAAAAAATGAATCCGGTGAATCTAGGTGTGTTACCATTGTCTGAAAAACAAAGACATGACTTATTATAGCAACAATTTCACTCGGAATTTTACTTAGCTTTCTTTTTATACGCCCACATGGTATTCACTCTTCCCCAATTTTAAAGTTACTTTCCCACAAAAAAACCCCAAAGACATGACTCATTACATCAACGATTTCAGACGAAATTTTACTTAGCTTTCTTTTTATACGCCCACATGGTATTCACTCTTCCCCAATTTTAAAGTTACTTTCCCACAAAAAACCAAAAGACATGACTCATTACATCAACGATTCCAGACGAAATTTTACTTAGCTTTCTTTTTATACACCCACACGGTATTCACTGCCCCACTCTTCTCCAATTTTAAAGTTACTTTCCCACAAAAAACCAAAAGACATGACTCATTACATCAACGATTCCAGACGAAATTTTACTTAGCTTTCTTTTTATACACCCACACGGTATTCACTGCCCCACTCTTCTCCAATTTTAAAGTTACAATTTTAAAGTTACAAAATGGCAAAGATATATTCTCGAAGTAGAGTCAATAGCTATCTGTGTTTAGAATGTCTTACAAATTCAAACCAAGTGTAGCAACTTATCAATATATATTTTAAACTCAACTTACCGAAATATATATTTTAAACTCAACTTACCGAAATATATATTTTAAACCCAACTTACCGAAATATCTTACAAATTCAAACCAAGTTTAACAACTTATCAATAATACATATTTAAAACTCAACTTACCGAAATATATATTTTAAACTCATCTTACCGAAATATATATTTTAAACCCAACTTACCGAAATATCTTTATTTAATTCTAGATCAAGTTTAGGTAAGTCGCTGAGCAGTGGTGCTTCAAAACCTGGTCCGGACGGTTTTCTATATAAATAAAAGACAATTTCACTTTATATTAAAATTAAATAAAGAGGGATAAAACGCACCAATGTACAGTCCTTTTGCTTTGATTTTTTTTTAGTTGAGGAATACTTCAAATTTTTGTTAGATTCAGTGGCTCCAATCTGGGACTACTGGTCTTTTTGCTTTGATTTTTTTTTTTTTGAGAGGAACCATTAGATTCAGTGGCTGCCATCTGGCAGTGCTTGTCTATTTGCTTTGATTCTTTTTTTTTAAGAGAGGAACAATTCAAAAATTTGATAGATTCATTGTCTCCAATCTGGGACCCTAGTCTTTTTGCTTTGATTTTTTTTCATGAGAGGAACAATTCAAAAGTTTTATAGATTCAGTGGCTGCCATCTGGGAGTGCTTGTCTATTTGCTGTGATTATTTTTTTTTATGAGAGGAACACTTCAAAAGTTATATACATTCAGTACCTCCAAGATCGTAATGTAAAATTATTACTGAATTACCTGGGACTGTTTGACTTTTTGCTTTGATTTTTTTTAGGAGAGGAATGCTTCAACGGTTTGATAGGTTCTGTCGTTTCAAGCACCTGCTGGTCTTTTTTATATGCTGTTTTTATTTTATCCCCATATTCTTGTTGAATTGCTACACGATCTTTGGGTGGAAAATACTGAAAATAGTGGAAATGTAAGTATATATAATAATGACCAGACATCTGTTACACGAATGAATGAAATGTAATGGGGTTTAGTTGGTACTGGGTGTTCTGAAGAGTATGTCTTGTAACTAGCTATGTAAACTCATTTCAATGTTGGTACTGGGTGTTCTGAAGAGTACGTCTTGTAGCTAGCTAGCTATGTAAACTCATTTCAAATGTGGTACTGGATGTTCTGAAGAGTACGTCTTGTAGCTAGCTAGCTATGTAAACTCATTTCAAAGAAGGTACTGGGTGTTCTGACGAGTACATCATGTAGCTAGCTATCTAAACTCATTTTAAAGGTGGTACTAGGTGTTCCAAAGACACTAAGTCTAGTGGCTAGTAAAACACACAATCTATTTTACCTCTACAATATCTTCACCAATTGAAACCTCGAAATCTTCAACATCTATTTCTTTTGGCATCGTGCTGCAAATATTAATTCATTCTAATGAACACAGTACAATACTTTGAATTTAGTAATTGGAACATTATCAAATAAAATACTATTTATGGATAACTATGGTTTATTACACTCACATATAAAACACAGACCTTATGATCTAAAGAGAGAGAGAGAGAGAAATGGGGTTTAACGTCCACTCGACACAAACTAGGTCATTTCGGGACTAACATATGGTTTAATTTTATTTCAATAATTCGATTGCGCGTAGGGGTCTTTTGCAGTGGGAGAAAACGAGAGGCCTGGAGAAAACCCATGAGGTTGGACAGGCGACCCTACTCCTTGTCACGTACAACCGGGGATTCGAAACTACTCCAGTAGACTCAATGACAGGCTTTATGATACAGTGCACACATGCTAACCATTCGACCATCCAACCCCCCCTTATGATCTAAAGCATATGCGTTAATCTATTCGAAAACCCAATCCTCTCCCTCAATTCACCACAGACAGTTAATGTGCTTCGAGAATATGATAGATGGATGGAGAAACCCAAATTAACTAATAGTCCCACACTTTCGGGGACAATAAAATAATAATTACCTTATTTTAGAGCAACTGGTTTTATGTTTCGGCCAATCGGCTGCTTGACAAGCTGCACTGCAATATGGCATCTTACATCTTGTACACAGCTTAACGGCTACAATATAGTATATTAATATACAGAGAGTTAGAGAGAGGGAGAGAGAGAGAGAGAGAGAGAGAGAGAGAGAGAGAGAGAGAAAGAGAGATGGGGTTTAACATCCACTCGACACAAAGTAGGTCATTTCGGGACTAACATATGGTTTAATTTTATTTCAATAATTCACTTGCGCGTAGGGGTCTTTAGCAGTGGGAGGAAACCAGAGGACAAGGAGAAAACCCACAAGGTTGGACAGGCAACCCTACTCCTTGTCTCGTACAACCGGAGGATAATAAACCACGCCAGTTAACTCAATGACAGACCTTATGATACAACGCACACACACTAACCATTCAGCCATCGATCCCACCATAAAATATACATAGAAGCAGGGATTTACAGAATGGGCAACTTTTGACAATTGAATACACAAAAGCCAACAGTGTCTTTATGTCCAATCCGAATGACTAGATAGCTGTCCTTGTCAAAGTTCTATAATGATCTTATTACGCACATGGTGGGGTTCACCTGCTAGCAAGTTATCAGTATATTTGTGGTACAGTAAGTTGTCGCAAGCCGAAGCCCAGAGATATGAAGTCGTAAGATTATTTTCCGATGGCATTTCGATTTGGTTTTCTGAATACATTTTATCATGGAGTAAGCAGTGACAAATAAGATACTATTCATAAATTGAAAACGTGACCTACAAGTGTTACGAAACATAATTTTTAAATAACAGAGAAGTAAATAAACTATAAACATACTTATGGAAAACAGCTACTTATTTATTTAGGCGACGTTTCAAAGAGTATTCTCTCAACGTTATCAAGCTAATACAATATAACAAAATTTGAAGCAAGATATATAGACAAAATTACAATAACAAGGTTGAAACCATACATGACAACAAGAAGTAGTTATACCCATATATATACCTTGTGTTGTTTTGTTTTAAATAGTTAAATGTACTTCTAGATGCTATTAAAGAATTAAATCAGATACTGTTTAAATAATGCCAATGGTGATCAACAATTTGAAATAATTTATAAACCATATATTATTCCCCCCCCCCCAACTATAGAAATAACAAGGATTTAATAAATCATATATATCACTCACCTTTCTTTCTACAATAAAGACATTCTTTACCAGATTTTGGTGCTTGAACAAAAAAAAACATAATTATAAGAAAATATAATTAGGCATAAAAAATTAAACGGTTACTTTTTATAAAGACAACAGTTGCACAATCTCACTTAAGTCTTAAGACCGAAACTAGTAGCTTCATGAGAGAAATGATGGACAGCTACGCCCCACTATATAGATTTTAAATTATCTTTAGACCCTAGCACTAGATTTCTAGCTGTTAGAGAAATTTTACCCGGACAGTGGGGCTACAACATATTTTTTCAAATTCCAACTGTCAAGGGTTCTTTTACGTAAACACCAACATGTACACAGGACCTCCCTTTCCGACCCATCCGAACCACTAGACACTGTCCTTTTCAGGCCGCCCCCCACCATCTTGCACAGACCGACAAGGGGACACGACACTGGAAAAATTTTCAGGAACTGCTACGTTTCGATACACATACAGGTATCGTTATCAAGCAAATAATAATTTTAACAAAAACTTTCACATTTTTGCTAAAAATTATTATTTGCTTGATAACGACACCTCTATGTGTATCAAAACTTAGCAATCATGTTAATAAATTCAGAAGTAGTACATCTATATAAATGTTTTAATTCTTAATGATCCTGTTTAATTTCTGACTGTAGAATAAACTATTTCACTTACTTTGTGGCATCGTATGATGAAGTCTATCTCCAGAGGGACCTGGTACAAACGTAGGACTTGAATTGTATCTGTTATAACCACGCCCTCGAAATACATTGGTTTGCACACCATGACCAGAATAACTGCATTCAGAACCTGCATAACTCATCCTGGACGATCGACCAGCATCAACCGAACCTCTTCTCACTTTAAAAATCAAATTAACGTAAAATGTTTATATAAGAATTAAAATCAAGCCTGGAAATAAAACAACTGTCACAGACAATGTCCAGCACAAGGGTCAATCCTTCCAGTGCCTGTCATTTTGTCTTTTTTTCAGATATTTTATTGATGTTTTTAATAAATATCTGGCAAAAAATTCAAAATATTAGGTATTAGTTCACAAGTGCCTAACATTTTGTCAGGTGTAGGTAGAATCACTATTTACATGTCTGATTTACATATATGTAGTGTTAATAAATGAAGTGGCAGGTGGTTTGACCCATATACCAGATACAAATATACAGGCATGAGAACAGTAAAATATATTTTTGGAGGAAAAATATTTGAGTGCCGGAGGCACGAATTTTGAGTGCCGAAGGCACGAATATGCAGTGTGCACAGCACACTTCCAACCGTCAAAAACTGGCTTTTTCACACATTTTGAGTGATATGTGACCTGAAACATTACCATATTTCAACAGACTTAAAATGGATATTGTATCCATTCTTGCTGTAGATCTAGTAAATATTGTTTAATTGCAATAAATAATATATGTAACAACAGACTCACTGTAATTATGAATGTGAAGAAAAGAATGAAATGGTTATTTAAATCTTTTAATATTATGGAGTTCCTTTTCTCTTCAGTCTAGCAAATAGTATCGATTTTTCCCAAACTGTTTCTATAACTAATATCCACGGACTTCTCCAGCCAGCTCCATCGAAACTTATTCTTAATATTCGTATCAATTTCTTTCAAACGTTCATCCGATTCCTCTCTTTGAATTATGGCTGCCATTTTCGCGCTTTAGTGAACTACCACAATCGTTGAGGTACGACTACAATATGTAGAAGCTTAATGCCGAGAAGGTGGCACGTACCGCGAGATTCGGGTAACCTCAGTCATTGCGGTACGATAGTACACTGCAGTGCACATTACAATGGAAGTCTAGTACGTAGTCTGCAGACTGGGGTAACAGATAGTTTGTTTACATTTTTACCGAGCGTTCTGAAAACGATCGCTCGGCAGAATGTGAAATTTGAGACCTCATCCCCCTTGAAAATTTTTATTGCATTTTTGTATGAATCTCAAAATCGACCAAATTGAAAAAAAAAACATGCGGAATTCTGCGGAAAATTCTCATGTCTGAAATATAGTGGCAGGTGGTTTGACCCTTATACCCGATACAAATATAGTGGCAGGTGGTTTGACCCATATACCTGAGATAAATGTACTGGCAGGTGGTTTGACCCAAATACCCGATACAAATATGCTGGCAGTTGGTTTGACCCATATACTAGATACAAATATAGTCATCACAATGCTTTGGTCTTCAAAACTAATGACTAACATATGGTCAATTGTTATGTGTGCATAGCAAGGGAGAGAATTTTGCCCTATGAGCACCATTCCTACCCACTTGTCTTCAATTATTCAAGTGCCAAGGTTTCTTTCATGTGCACGAGTACAGGTGAACCTTGTTTTTCTTCCCATCTGAACAACTAAGCACACTTTCCAGGTCAACTCTGCAGACGTCGCCCCGAAGATAGAATTGGGTTTGAAAAATACTGAATCTTCTTCTCAGACGACAACTGAATTTGGACATTCTTGCTAGACATGTTACCACTCGACCAATGCGGCTCCTGATACAAATGGTCAATGTGTAATTACAATGCTGTCAAGCAAAGACGTATGGTTTGTCGTCGACAAAAGCTGTTTATTTATTAACAAGCCAAATAAATAGATGACACTTATTATTACTTGCACATTTAACTTTTTACAAAGCATCCAGCAATCAAAATGCTTATCAGTCTGCTTAGCCTGAACTGAAAATGCTAACAATTAAAATTAATGAGGGTATTGATGCAATGCAACTATTCTCCAAATTTATCACTCAATTAGAATCAAAGTCATCGGGTTCCAAAGCATCAATCAATCAAATTTATCCACCTAATGGACACCTCCACCCAATTAAAAGCAGAGTCGTTGTATTTCAAAAGGTGTGCAAGATTTCTATAGACAGCTTTAAAAGGAACATGGAGGACAACTCAACACAGAACAGCACCATGCGTCATGCAAAACAAATGCTTTCATTAACAGAATCCAGAGTTAACAGATGTTAGTAAAAGAAGAGGCTTGTTCAATGTTTCTGAAACTCAATGTGTCATATTAGGCCCCGCTCCCCAATATTATTTATGTTTACGGTCTCGAACAGACCCTATTATTTTGAGCCAAAATTGACCACCCTAAATTTTTTCTCCTTTATTATAAATCAATCTTGACATGGTTTTCTGCAGCCACAGACCGGTCGGGCATTATTTTACAGAAAAGAGAGAGAGAGAAAAATGGGGTTTAACGTCCACTCGACACAAACTAGGTCATTTTGGGACTAACACATGGTTCAATTTTATTTCAATAAGTCGCTTGCGCGTAGGGGTCTTTAGCAGTGGGAGGAAACCGGAGGACCTGGAGAAAACCCACGAGGTTGGACAGGCGACCATACTCCTTGTCACGTACAACAGGGGAATCAAAACCCCGCCAGTTGACTCAATGACAGACCGTATGATACAGCGCGAGTGTGCTAACCATTCGGCCATCCACCCCCCCCCCTATTTTACAGAAACATACTTAGTAATTAAGTTAGAAATGCTAGGAAATAAATATTTTACGGTATTAAAAATGACATTACAAAGACATTTAGACTACAAGTATCGATATATTTTATTAAAAGATTAAACTATTAGTTCAAACCAATTTTAACCTTCAAATACCCCTCCCCCCTTCACCACAAAAACATTCTCCGACCGACCCTTTTTCGTGGCCAATTAACCGTAAATACAGGTGTTTTTTTTTCTTTTTGGCCTTACCTGTATCAGGGTCGACACAGACTTGTCTCTGTTGGTTACCAACTGTTATAGTTAAATCAACTAAACTATCAATACTAGAATTCATACCAATACTTGATGGACCATGACTTACTATAGATTGATCTAATACTGAAATATACACAGAGATGGGGTTTAACATCCACGCAACACAATCTAGGTCATTTCGGGACTAACATATGCTTCAATTTTATTTCATTATGTATTCAATAGAACATGTGTTCTTCATTAACACTTAACAACTATACATGATTTTTGAATAGAAAGAGATAGACAGAGTGAGAGTTTAAGGTCCATGCAACATAACACAAACTAGGTCAGTTCTGCAGTTCTGGAGAAAACACATGAAGTTGGTAGGCAATCCTACTCCTTTTCATGTATAACCAGGGAATCGAAACCACGCCAGCTGACTCAATTACATACCTTATGATACAGCGAGCACTATCCATTCGGCCACCCAACCCTATGATTTTAGCACTATAGACATAAAATGAAATGGGTTTTAACGTCCTACTGTTCTGCTCCAATTGGGGTAATGAAGATAGGCATATGCCATACAGTGTGCTATGATGGAAATTTCGCCTAGGCATGGCATGTTGGTATGGGATGAAAAACCAAGGTTCCATGTACACCATTCTCAGCACATTAAAGATGAACTAACAGGTAGAAATATAAACAAGAGTAGGCTGTAACTCCCCTTTCCAGGCAATTTTTATGACCTTGACATTGTTCTATACCTGATATATCTTGACTGTTTACAATAGATCCTCGACCTCTTCCTTTACCCAGTTTCTCTGTTAACCTGGTAAATAACCATGTTCATTTTAACTCATGAAATCTATTAGTTTATCTTACCTCATGAAATCTATTAGTTCATGTTATCTCATGAAATCTATTAATTAGTTCATGTTATTTCAAGAAATCTATTAATTAGTTCATGTTATCTCATGAAATCTATTAATTAGTTCATGTTATCTCATGAAATCTATTAGTTCATGTTATCTCATGAAATCTTTTAGTTCATGTTATCTCATGAAATCTATCAGTTTATGTTATCTCATCAAATACATTAATTAGTTCATGTTATCTCATGAAATCTATCAGTTCATGTTATCTCATGAAATCTATCAGTTCATGTTATCTCATCAAATCTATTCATTAGTTTCTATTAATTAGTTTATGTTATCTCATCAAATCTATTATAAATATAACTGATCTTCTCTGACAATAAAGGACTCTATTATCTTGACCAGATTAAAACATTTTCTGAAATTGACCTCCAGTGTAAAGAATTAAAACATACTCACTGTTCATCTTTATGAACTCCATTCATACTTGGTTTCTACAAATATACATTACAACATGTGATTAAACTGGTGCTTATATCTATTATCAAAACTCATATATAACGGCAGAGAGGAATAATAGGACGCTAAACCCGATTTCATTTCATATATAATGATATAATGGCATTTTTGGACCAGGATCTGGTCTACAAGCTGAGGACAGAGAGAGAGAGAAATAGGGTTTTAACATCCATCATTTCGGGTTCAACATTCGGTTTAATTTTATTTCAATAATTCGCTTGCACGTTGCGGTCTTTAGTAGTGTGAGGAAACCCGGATGACCGGGAGCAAACACACGAAATTGGACAGGCAACCCTACTCCTTGTCACATACTAGCAGTGAATCAAAATTTTTTTCAAAGAGTGTTACCCCCAAGAACATCAAGATGCGTAGCGTTTGGCAACCAGCCCCTTATCCAACAATATGCAATTCTCATCAGTAAGGAAATATACATTTGCTAGGTCAGGTAAAGATTTTGGAACAATTTTTGGCTAAATTTGAGAGAGAGAGAGACAGAGAGAGAGATGGGGTTTTAACGTCCACTCGACACAAACTAGGTCATTTCGGGTCTAACATATGGTTTAATTTTATTTCAATAATTCGATTGCGCGTAAGTGTCTTTAGCAGTGGGAGGAAACCCATGAGGTTGGACAGGCAACCCTACTCCTTGTCACGTACAACCGGGGAATCGAAAGCACGCCAGTTAACTCAATGACAGGCCTCATGATACAGTGTGCACGTGCTAACCATTCGGCTCTCCAACCCCCCTAAATTTGAGAAAGTTTGAGTGGAAAGGTTTTAACTTACTTTTGTCTGAAGATCGTCGTCAGTGTCATCGGAATCTTTGTTTGCAGCAGGTGAATTTATTTTACCACAATTCAACGTACTGAGGAAAGCTTCATCTTGCTGGAATGCAGATTATTTAAAAGATATATATCAGAAAAAACAATTTGGACAGAGTAAGTGATTTACTAATTTGGAGTTTACAATGAAGATTTTATACAATTACTTCACCGACTACAAAATAAAATAATGCGCAAGTACTGTTTCACCCTGCATCACTCTCTTCTGAAAACGAGGAGGTGCTGGCCGTAAGATGCATTTTGTCATTTTTGTGTACTTAAAATAACAATAACCAAGCAGCCATTTTGCAAACAAAATAAAAAGGGGAGTGGAAATATCTATACAAGAAACAGCTCTAGTCTCTATTAGTAAATACTACAAATTGGGTATTGGTTTTACCGTTATAGCAGGAGTTACTGTATTTAATGTTTAGTTTAGTTTAAAACCATTGACCAATCATTTTTTTTATTTTATTTCAATAATTCATTTGGACAAGCGATATACAACCGGGGAATTGAAACCACACCAGTTGACTCAATGACAGACCTTATGATAAACTATGCAGCAGGATTATCCGTATTTAATGTTAGGTTCAAGTAATTAATTAGTCTTGTAAATTGCTAGTAAAAGAAAACAGTTGTAAACCCAACACTCATTATCTAATCTAGATAGACTGTTTAAACTACACAATAGCAGGAAGGGAACCCAATATTTTTTCTATGATTCTCAGTAAATAATTTGCCAACAATGGTTTGAAACTAAACTTTAAATACAGAAACACCTAACAACTAAACGATACTCAAGTTGTAGAGAAATGGGTATGTCCCCATCCCCTCCTCAATCCACAATAAACTAATGTCCTACTTCTTTAATGCGTTTCCTTCTGTTTTGTTCTTCAGGTGTCTGACATGGTTGAACTTTTAATCTGAATCTGTCAATCTGAAAACCATGAAATCTTGTCAAAGCTTCTGTTGCTTCTTTAACACTGGCCATAGTAACAAACCTATAAATAAATAAACAATAATAAATAAGAGTTGTCTACCCTATTATTATTATTATGTACATCAGAGAGGGAGAGAGAGAGAGAGCAAGAGAGAGAGAGAGAGAGAGAGAGGGAGTTTAATTAAACTCGACACAAACTTGGACATTACGGGAATAACATATGGTTCAATTTTATTTCAATAATTCGCTTGTGCGTAGGTGTCTTTGGCAATGGGAGGAAACCAGAGGACCCAGAGAAAACCCACAAGGTTGGACAGGTGACCCTACTCCTAGTCACGTACAACCGGGGAATCAAAACCACGGCAGCTGACTGAATGACAGACCTTATGATACAGCGCGCAAGCGCTAACCATTCGGCCATCCATTAGAAGCAACGTTATCCTGTCCCAAACAGTATAACGGACAGGAAGACAATTGAGTCCATCTAAATAGTCCTCTGCTTTCTTCAAAAGGTGGAGGACAATATCAAATTAGAGAATACAGTTTTTGTCTTCTAAATTTGTTGTCACTGCTGACAATCTAAATATTACTTTGATTCCAATCAGTCAGCATCATATTGTTTTAGGAATATAATAAAATTTGACCAATATATAGAAAATGCCATGTTTGATGGATAATTTTACACTTGAGGAAACTGTCATTTGATGGATAATTTTATAGGACATATATGAGCTGCTGATATTGCAGATTTTTGCGTGGGATCACTTGAGGAAATTGTCATTTGCTGAAGTGAGTTCAACTTTTGCTGCTAGAGCCCACTGCAGAGGTTCGACGTTTTACATTTGTGCACCTATTTTGCCCAGCAGCAATATAAAAACCTCATAATCTTAAATATAAATAGCAGATAACTGAGCCTTAACTCACAAAATAACTGGTACTTACCCAAACGTATCAAGTGACCCTGGTATCTTTGTTGGTAAAATTTTAACATGGGTTACTCTACCAGCTTGACAAAATAAATTCCGTAAACCATCCTAAAATAACCATAGAAATAGATATCATTGTTATAAATATGTTACAATCTGTGACGTCATTTTAGTCCTTCTGCTCATAGAAATTGAATATTGCAAGTAATTATGTGAACATGTCCCTTCCATAAGTATAACACGAACCCAAATGTCAATATTACCTGCCACAGTTAAATTAGTAATGTCCGCTGTTGTGCGCGAGTAGCCGTAATTTTCTGTCAATTAACCATCTGTGATGTCATTTTAGTAATTGTGCTCATAGTAGAAATATAAACTAAAATGACGTCACATTGTTAATTTAACCAAAACCGAGTATGATGATGGATGTTTAAAACTACAGTGTCTGTAAGAAAGACAGTGTCAAAAATATTATACGGCTTGGTCAATGGCCCCATAGATATTGTGGCCATATGCGTATGAGCTGGGGGGGCGCCTGCCCCCCTATTTTGGGCACCAAATGCTGGGAAAATTTGGGCACACAATTGTACTTTGTAAAAGTTGTATAAAAAAAATATTATACGGCTTGGTCAATGGCCCCATAGATATTGGGGCCATATGCGTACGAGCTGGGGGGGCGGCTGCCCCCCTATTTTGGGCACCAAATGCTGGGAAAATTTGGGCACACAATTGTACTTTGTAAAAGTTGTTTAAAAAAAATATTGTGTTCTTGAATGTGTCCAATTTAACAGTGAATTTATTATTATTATGTAAGAACCTAACTACATTTTCTGGGCACCAACCACCTCCGCCCCCCAAGTCAAAAATTTGCCCGTACGCCTATGATTGGGGCCCTAGGCTTCAGCCTACCAAGCCCATAGGTAATTCTGGCATTGACAACCCTGCACTGGATTGAATCCCTGTCCTAACTTGAGTATGGAGTGAATAATTAAATGCTCAAAGATGGCCAGTTCCCTAAATATAAATATGATAAATACCTGTCTAAGGTTGACTGGTATTCCTGTAACATATAACTGAACACCACTTTTCACACCATCACTGAAATATAAATGTCATTTCAAGGTTTTTTTTAAAAAAAATATTTTATTTTAAGAAAAGGATTGAGGAACAAGTTGTTTTTAATGTAAGAAAATTATGCAGTTTAATAATCCCTGGAATCCTAACCAGCTCAAAAATATTAACTTTACACAGAAACATAGGCTAAAGGGTAAATAATGAAGGGTATGGAATTTTAGAGTCTATGCGATAAAGCATTTTTATAACGGAAATTCTTCAGCCATCTCTCTGTTCATCAATAACTGAAGCAGTTGCTCCAATGATACAGCACTGTGTCAGTCCATCCGAGACTCATTTTGTGTTTCAGTCTCCGACGATTGGATAAATGGAACAGCCGCACAAAGCCACTCATAGATTTCTATGCACAAGGGCTTAAAATCAAAAATCAATAACGCACATGTCCATCTATAGCCATCATACAAAGGCACAAGGAGCAAATACATTAAGGCTCTGAATGGATGTTTGTAGGATGCTTATCCAGGGAGTAGATATGTTAAGCCTCTGAATGGATGTTTGTAGGATGCTTATCCAGGGAGGAGGATACATCAAACCTCTGAATGGATGCTTATCCATTCTTGTTGCAATTCAGTTTCCAGTCCCATGCCGTTGCATCTTTCATAGAACTGTAGGATGTTTATCCAGCTTTAAACTGGACACAAGTACAAATTAGGTGATTTTTGGTGATTTTAAATGATTTTTATGAATTTTTAAACAAAGATTTGATATTATACAAATGTGAAAGAAATTAGTGCTAGATACACATGATCACATGATACCCGTTTTACAGTGTTAAGTGTCCCATATTTTACCAGGGTTCATCTCAATACATTAATGATACCCTGACAATGATAACAAGATGATGGATGAACTGATTATCCTACAGACAGAGCGGAAAACACTAAACAACCACTAAACAAATAAATTCAGTTAAAATTACCTTTTAGGTAAATTCCGTCCTGGTCCTTTATTGTAAGAATTAAATTCTGAATCATTATAATCATCTTTCAATGGATTCCAGTGCTCCATGCTGTCAACTTTTTATATACAATATTTACACCTAAAAATAAACTAAAATATTTCAATAGCTGGAGGGAGGGAGGGAGAGAGAGAGAGAGAGAGAGAGAGAGAGAAAAAGAGAGAGGGAGATCTGGTACACATTGTCATGTACATGTACATGTGCAAGCTTTGGACCATGCCACTTGACTCAATGACAGACTTTATGATCTAAAGTGCACATTTGACCACTCAACGACCCAATCCCTAATAGCCTTTAAGTAAGAATATGACGTCACTGTTTGACATGACTGGTGGATATGTCTAACCTCGTTTTTGGAGTCCCTTGTTAGAAATGGCGCTGAAACGCATTGTGGTACACGATTTGTGTACTAATGGTAAAATGTTTATTTTGTCTAAATATTGGATATCAGAAAGCCATCTTTTCCCGGTAAGCTCACAACATCAGTGTTGATTTAAAGGAGCTAAATCGCTAATATTTTGGACCTAGAAATTGGCACAAATGGGTCGCAACACATATAATAATGTAATATGAACTTATATAAACTGTTTGACATTCAATCTTTTCCATTTTACTGTGAATTGTCATCAGTTATGTTCGGTGAAATATGCCAGAAGTCTGAACCGAAAGACAGTTTCTAGCGTGTGGTTATTCCGGTCAACAACGATAGTATATATTGCGCATGCTCTCCAAATAAGAATATGGCATCACCGTTTGACATGACTTGTGGAATATGTCTAGCCTCATTCTTTGAGCACCTTGTTACAAATGGCGCTGAAACACATTATGGTACATGATTCGTGTACCAATGGTAAAATGTTTATTTTGTTTTAAATATTGGATATCAGAAGCCCATCTTTTCCAGGTAAGACCACAACAGCAATGCTGATTTAAATTGCAAAAAAATTCGTGTTTTCAATGTCGAAGATTTTGGATGATATTGAGTTACGGACTTAGCTACTTTAAATTGACAAAAATTTGTTGTTTTCGGTGTCAAAGATTGTGGATGATATTGAGTTAAAGAATTAGCTACTTTAAGTCTAAAAACATTTAAAACAATAGATATACCACTTAACAGATCAATCAAAACGTACAGAAGGTGAATAAAGCAACTCTCATTTAAAACCAAGTCTTCTGTTGTGGATAAACGTTGTTAGATCCAGCAGCTAACACAGACCTACCTGCCTTTTTATAGCAACTTTACCGAGGAAAAATTCTAACAGAAAATGTCAACTACAAAGTAAAATTTGTTAAACTGGACACTGAAACATTTTGTGACATTCTTATTTGTGTCTCTTCACTGTACTGCTGTATATGAATGTATGTTAGTGTCAGGTTTTCTCACCAATAGTGTCAATAGGTAAAAACTCTGACAAAGAATGGAATACTGTTTAAGTCTATGGAAGCCTGAAAATAAAGCACCTGGCACAGAAATTGTCAAGACACATATTCAGGCTTTTTACTGATCATATTTATAACATATATTATATATGAGCCAAAGATCAAATTGTCAGGTCCCATTTTTTCTGGTAAAAGTAAATGCTGCGTGTGTGTGAGTTAGTTGTATTTTACGTTCGCTTCCACCAAGGTGATATCGCAGACAATAACATATTATATTTACATATTGTAGCCTATAGATATTAATGAAAAAAAAAGGAATGATTAAATATTTATATATATATGTACAGAAGATAAGTGATGGGAAGAGACGTTATATATCAAGTGCAAGATGATTAAGTGCGAGTGGAGACATTCATAGACATTTTACAGACGAACACACAACACAAACATTTGACAAAACAGATATGCTGCATGTCCCACTCATACTTATAGGTGCAGTCCTTCACGTTTATAAAATTGTGCGGTAGCCATGGCTCATGCCAATTTGAATTTCAAAAATGAGAAAAAAAGCTCCCGTAAAATAAACTGTAAGACTTACTATGAGTAATTCAACATTTTCTTGAATTAAGGAGAACCAAATTGTATTTATGCTTTAGTCTTGTTTAATATTTGGTGAATATGCTTGGTGAATATGCCGTAGCATCAGAATTATCATCATGGAAACTGATAGCTTGTAGTTTAAAAATAAATAATAAACAGAAAATGAAAGTTGTTTATTAATCTCACTAGCAATTTAGCTAATTTGCAGGAGTCTTTAATGACTCCCACAAAGGGAAGCAGGGATGCATCGAGAGGAGCAGGAGCGAAAGCGCACCTTAAGGTTTAAGCCTGAAGGACTCTCGGTGTGAATAAAAATGGGGTTACCGTAATTGAACGCACTACAGTGAAACAAAAGACACAAATTCAGATAAATTCTAAAATTGTAATTTTACCAACTATCAGATCTTCGATCTTCTAATGTCTCTTTACATAAAATGAATATATAAATGTTGCTATTGCCGATTCACACATACATTCCTGTAGCTTACGTATCACAAATTCAAAGAAAATCTCCCGCCAAGTTTTACTTCTTTTTTCTTAGAACCGAAATCGGTAGCAAAAAGAAGGCGACCCCTGTTTTCTGACTTTTGCACACTGACATTCATAAGGAAGGGAACTGAAAGTACACACAGTTTCATAAACATAACAATGCCAAAATAACTGGTATATGCAAATTGCCAAACAAAGTTATTTGTAATAGATTTGTACCTCTTTCAATAATATTCGGTAATTCATAAGTTTGCATCGGACATTATTCTATTTTGTTTCAGGAAAACAGGAATTCCGAACCTCGTGGAAAACCAATATTTTGACCTCTGACCTCTCCCATGATGCTCTTGGCTATATCTGTGCATTTTATTACTCAGAATTTGTGTAGTTGACGTAAATGTGAATGTCACGTGGATAAAAAGATAAAGTGTTAGTCATATATTTCTTTAATTAGATCTACTATGATTTAATACACATAAATTTCCCGATTAATAATTCGAAACTACTATGCGTGCTAGCTTTAATTCTCAGAAAAGCCATTTCAAAAATTAGTTTCGTATATTTATTATACCCCCTCGAAAAATACATATTTTCATATTACATCCGACTCTTTTTCAGAAAATTGAGTATCTTTATATATTCAAATGGACATTTTACATTCAATACTGCTAATGTTTTGTTTATTGACGTTCTCGGGATCAATAACTTCGTGGGGAAAGTCACATGACCAACTAATCCAATGTTTTTGTCATCCACCATCTTGAGTTGTTGGCAGACGGAAATTGTAGTCACTTGTCAAAAATAATTTATTTGTAACTTCTATACTGCTTTATAGGATGCCAATTAAAGGAGGTTTGTTAATACATACACCCACTGTATTGTAAGAGCTGATCGTATTAGGGTGGTCTGGAATTAACTGTTGATAGGCTCGGCTCCCCCATGTTGATGTATTGACATTTGATGATTTGTCAGACTCAGAGTGACAGAGAGTACGAACAATTAATATCTGGGCTAGCTACTGTAAAATTCTAGCCACTAAACTTGGTGTTATTTGCGTTTGCTTAATATCGATCCTACAATGGCATGAAATATTGTCATAAATACAAAATTTAAAACTTGAAACACCAACAGGCTATTGATTATAAAATGTAAATTTATCCCAAATTTTGATTTTAATTTAATCACCTACATGATGTATAAACTACATGTATAAACTAAAGGTTGTCATAATCTGTGAATTAAAAAATATAATCTTGTAACCTAACTCATTAACTGTGCACGGGCATGTCTACAGTGTATATGAAATGAAATGAAATGAAATGGGGTTTAACATCCTACTGTTCTGCTGCTAACCTGGGCTAATGAAGACGGGCATACGCCATAGGCTACAGTGTGCTATGAGTGAAATTTTGCCCGGACAGCGACGTTACGGCCTACTCTTATATCGAATTCCAACTGCCAAGGGATCTTTTATGTACACGCCAGTGTGTACACGGGACCTCGGTTTTTCGTTCAATCCGAACGACTAGACAGCTGTCCTTGTCAAGCACTCCATCCTGCATCACTGACAAGGGGAAACCATGCCGGAGAATCTGGATGAACTTTCTTGGCCAATGCAGGGATCGAACACCCGATCTCCAGGCTTGAAAGCCAGCTATGCTCTAACACTAACAGGCCGTGTAAGATACATGTACCTGTGGTCTATTCAGAGACAAGCAGGTAAAAGAAACCCGATCTTGATACGTATTGGTTTTATTTATGATATGATTACTATAGCCGTTCATGTTAACTTTGACATACCGACTAAAAAAATTATGGTCATATTTTGTTGTAAGATCGACTTTAAGCAATCAAGAGTTTTGTGATAGGCCTGTAGATTTCAGAATTGTTCATCACTCAGTATTGAAGTTTGGATCAAATTTCTGATTTGAATATTAGATGGCACTCAGACAGTAGACTAATTACAAATTACACTCATTTCTACCGTTCTGGCGTTGTTCCCCCTGTGGTGTAGAACAAAGGGCCAGGCGGCAGGCAATGGACAACATATAATCATGCGGATGGGCTGAAAAACCGAGGTCCTGTGTACACATGGGTGTGCATGGAAAAGAACCCTTGGCAGTTGGAATTCGATATATGAGTAGGCCGTAGCACACTGTATGGCATATTTTTGTCTTCATTAGCCCAGTCGGAGCAGAACAATATGTAGGACATTGAACCAAATTTCATTTCAATTTTACCAATAGTCAAATTCACTTTTTATGTCTTGATGAGTATACAAATGTACATGTACATATTTTCTTTAGTGCTGTAGTGCTGCACCAACAGGCCTACTACAGAGTATACATGTAGGATACCATCAGTAAAAGTTATTTACAATTTTTTATCAGATCTGAGTCTGTTGCATGGATGAGTTGTTTGTGCCAGTTTGCATTTATTATTGAAATGATCCCTGCTCCCTCCAATTCTAATAATACAATATATTCACAAAATTTGTCAATGGTTTAACCCCAAAATGTAATATTGTTGTTCATTTATGTAATTTGCATAATAAGTTTACAGAATTTGTTTTTTAGTTGATAAACTATGAGTGAAATCATTGGTGATGGAGAAAACGACGAATTAGCCGAAAACCCTCAACCCGAAGCCGATGCAGATATCAGTACTGAAAATGTAGAATCATCGTCACGGGATACTGATAGGGCAGAAGGAGATGTGTTGAATGTTGAAGCTAATGAAGACCTTGTAGAAAGTGAAAGTAACGTTGTCCCTCAGAACAACAACCAGGAAGAAGGAGATGAGGTGAACATCTGTGTAGAAGCTGGTGGTAATGTTGGCCCTCATAATGCAGAAGGAGAAAGTTTGAATGGAGAGGCTAATGCTGAACCAGAATCGCATCCTGGTAATTTAGAAACTGAAAGTAATCATTTTGCGAATGGCAGAGGTGCTGAAATTACTGACAGAGCAGAAGGAGATGTTTTAAATGTCGGGGCTAATGCTGAACCTCACACTGCTCATGTAGAATCTGAAAGTGAGTATGATGTGTCTCACAGTAACCGTCAAAATGACAATGTGACTCATGGTGATTTCAGTGTAGGAGCTGAAATACCTGATGATGATGATGCTGTTTACTGCTCTCAGACTGGTGATGAAAGTGAATCAGCAGAGAGTGAAATGGGATCAGTTTCTGATGTAGTGAACAATATTGTACCATTACCAAGTGGCTCTGTTGATAATGTTACACAAGAGAATGTACCTTCTACTTTGAACCAAGTTTCAGCAGCAGCAGCAGCAGCACCTGTTAAAACATCAAGTGATCAGGCACCAGAATGTGATCAACCCTTTGAGGCAGGTGCCCCTTGCCCTCAGGAGGTTTTAGTGAGGAATGCCACCCCAGAACTTAATAATTCAGACACTGGTTGCAGCATTTCGTTACAAATGTGTGATAGCCAGAATACCGGTACACAGAGTGATTCAGGAAATTGTCAATCAGAATCAGAACATTCAGTTTCTCAGAATGCTGAAAGCACGGCTTCTGCAACACAAAATAATTTGAATTGCAGGAAGGATGATGAACATGAAGGAATGCCTCTGGATGACTCAGAGTCTTCAAATGATAGTAGTGGATTTTCTGAATGTGATATAAACAATGCAAATAAATCTACAGTTTCAAGTGCTAATAATATTTCAAATGGTGATAATCATAATCATGAAAACCTCTGTTCTGAATCAAGCAGCCAGTCAACAAGTGCATCCTCTAAACCTGAATCTCCGGAAAAATCGCAAAATTGTGTAACTGGTGATACAAGTAAGAACAGTATGGAGATTCAGTCAACTCCAGTTAATCAGGAAAGAAGTCAAATTGGGACGAGACACGGGGCCAAAAAATTTCCAATTTCCCGGAAATCTCCACCAGGAATTGACTTTCTGCATTTGTCCGATAGCTCAGAGGATGAACTTTTAAATGAATTAGATGCAGCTTTGTTATGTCAGTCACATTCCCCACGTAATTCTAACGACAGACAGTTCAATAATTCAACAACACAGAGACAAAATGATAGCACAAATTCATCTGTGTCTGCGATGACAACTTCATCTAATGAATTCAGACAGAGACAAAATGGTAGCACAAATTCATCTGTGTCTGCGATGACAACTTCGTCTAATGAATTCAGACAGAGACAAAATGGTAGCACAAATTCATCTGTGTCTGCAATGACAACATCATCTAATGGATTAAGACAGTTTCCAATAAAGGAATCGGTGATCGTCCAAAAAGTTGAACAAAATATAGAGGCTCTTAGTAAGCAGCTACATACTAAAGAAGAAGATGTCAAATCTATCACGTAATTATTAGAAATTTGATTTTTTCTGTTTTCTGTATCAAGCCTAGAAATAAGGAACCATTTTCAGACATTATCAGGAACAAGTTTAGGCTTTGTTAGGCATCTTACCTTAATGTACATGCAGGCCTACATGGATCAAGTCTGGAGATGCATATAAGGCAACATTTACATACATTGCCAGACAGACCCAAATTTAGGCTTTTTCAGGCATAGTACCTCAGTGTAGGCCTACATGGATCAAGTCTGGAGATGCATATAAGGCAACAATTACATACATTGCCAGACAAACACAAATTTAGGCTTTGTCAGGCATCGTACCTCAGTGTAGGCCTACATGGATCAAGTCTAGAGATGCATATAAGGCAACAATTACATACATTGCCAGACAAACACAAATTTAGGCTTTGTCAGGCATCGTACCTCAGTGTAGGCCTACATGGATCAAGTCTAGAGATGCATATAAGGCAACAATTACATACATTGCCAGACAAACACAAATTTAGGCTTTGTCAGGCATCGTACCTCAGTGTAGGCCTACATGGATCAAGTCTGGAGATACATATATGTACATGTAAGGCAACAATTACATACATTGCCAGACAAACACAGATTAAGGCTTTGTCAGGCATCATACATGTACTTCAGCGTAGGCCTACATTTATCAAATCTGGAAATACATACATGTAGCACAAATTTCATGTACAGACACAAATTTAGGCTTTGTCAGGCATCATTCATCTCTTGCCTGTCATTTTGTTCGTCACATATTTGTCGTGTTTATATTGATTTCTTTAATTCAAAGTTAAAAGTATCCTTTACATTTTCTAGGTCAAACATAACTAAAATAGGCCTAAGGCCTATTCAAAGCCTGGAAATAGCCACCATATCACACTAATTCCCTATCGGGCATGTAATGCCAAACAAAACTTTGTGCTGACTGCTGACCTGTATTAAACGTGAACATTGTAAATAGTACCAGTAGTAGTATTGTATTTGTAATTATTTTATTATCAGTTGATTTCTTTAAATTGATCACAACAGTTCTTTATTGCCCAATACTACAGTAGATACTGCTTGTGTGATATATTTCATAATTAAAAATGAACTATTTTTATTTAATTGACTTTGATGGAAACACTGGGTCAGTATAAAAGACTTTGAAATGATTGAATTGCTGTCAAAAAATGATGTATCACTACGCCGTAATGTAATCAGGTTCAGTAAAAGTGAAATCTATAGCAAAGAATTATATTTATTTATTTGTGCACGTAAGAAAGGATTGGGTGATAAATAAAATCTCCTACTCGTCTTTTTTGATATCAAAAAGGACTCGTAGGAGATTCTCTATATATAAGACAGTTATCATTATTGTACATGTATATATGTAGTATATTTCGTTCTTGTTTATTGACTGTTCCAGTATAGGGGGTTGGTTGGTGGAATGATTTGACGTGTGCACGTTATATTGTAAGATCTTTTATTGAGTTACGAGGCGTGGTTTTGATTCCTAGCTACGGTGACAAAGAGCAGGGTCGTCTGTCTGACCTCAATATGCGACAACCCTTGTCGACCGCTCGGACGATTTAGCTGCTGTAGGCGTATGTTTTGTTGCCTGGCAAACTATCTTAGTTTCATGTATTGATGACAAATTTTTACAGAGTATATTGTGAAACCTTGAAAGAAAAATTAAAAACTCTAGAAGAAGATAAAAAAGAATTACAATTTGAAATAAAGAGATTAAAAGAAGACGACAGAGATAATTTATATTTACCACAAATTAAAGAGGTAAATTTAAAGATCGCCCGAAAAGCTTCAAATTTTTTTTTTTAAATTATGCAAGTCATTATGTCAATATATCTTTTCCATAAGTATTACACAACCCTGAATGTCAATATTACCGAATGGTTAGTGCATGCCGCGTTGTATCATAAGGTCTGTCATTGAGTCAACTAGAGTGGTTTTGATTCCCTGGTTGTACGTGACAAGAAGTAGGGTCACGTCATCTGTCCAACCTCATGAGTTTTCTTCAGGTCCTCTAGTTTCCTCACACTGCTAAAGACCCCTACGCGCAAGTGAATTATTGAAATAAAATTGAACCATATGTTAGTCCCGAAATGACCTAGTTTGTGTCGTGGACGTTAACCCCCATTTCTCTCCCTCTCTTACTGGGCAAATGAAGACGGCATACACCATATGCAGTGTGCTATGACATAAATTTGGCCCTGACAGTGGTGCCTACTGCCTACTCTTATTTCGAATTCCAACTGTCAAGGGTTCTTCTACGTGCATGCAAATCTGTACACAGGACCTGTCGGAACGACTATACACTCTACATTACTGACAAGGAGAACCACGCCAGAAAATCCAAATAAACTCTCTCAACCAGCGCAGTTATCAAACACAGGCCTTCAAGATTAGCGAACCAACGTCCTACTCACTGAGCCACCGTCGGCTCCCAGAAATGTACAGCTACTGTACTGACCAGAATATAGATTTCAAAAATTGATAAAAAAAAATTATAATTTTTGTTTTTTAGTTAGACAACACAATAGCAGCTCAACAAAAGGAAATCCAGCATACCAAAGAAACCTTAATTTCTCACGATGCACTAGCCAAGCGTAAAATAGCCTCTATGCAAAATGATTACAAGCTTCGTATAGACCAGGTAGGTGTTGGAAGAAAATCTCAGATTTGTATTACATGTACAGTTCCTCCCAAATTTTTTGGACCGAAATCGGAATTCTCTTAGATTTCACGGTGAAATTTCGCTTGATTCCGCGGCGATTTTTCTCTAAGATTCGCTAAAATTCACCGTGTTTCTCTAGGAATTCACCGTGTTTCTCTAGGAATTCGCCGTGTTTCGATAAGAATACATCGTGTTTTGCTGTGCTTCCCGCAAGGAATTCGAGAGCCTACCTTAAGCTAGGGTCGAACTAATATTGTAAGTTATTCATTGTTTGCATACACGTACATTGTGGCACCACGTTATACATGTACAGTGTGTTAGAAATACGACCGTAGCTGCCTCGCCAACGGTTAACATATCTTGTATTCAACTTAAATAAATTACATTTTTCGTCAACATGCTTACATCGGAATGATATCGGGATGATATCGGCACTCAAGCGATTCACCGTGTTTCACCGCGAAACACCATAATTCACCCCGAAACACCCTATTTCGCGGTGATTTGGCTAGCTGCCGTTTCGCTAGCGATTCTCCAAGATTCCACCGTGAAATAAAGCGTTTTTCCGCGGTGTTCGGCGATTATAGTCCCAAACTCCAGCACTGTAGTGTATATATATTTACATATGTACACAGTAACCTGGGTATTATTTAAAGGGACCATCCCGAATTTAACTGAGTCTCAGAAATAAAATTCTGTGTATGTATGAAATTTAAGCGCCAAAATATAGATAAATGGTGTATTTACCATGTCTCAAAATTTCAGCTCAAAATATTGAGTCGTTTGGATCGGAACGTCAAAAGAGCTTATCCGTACACATGAAACTTTTGAGATTTCGGGTCAATTCTTTCGTTTGGTGACCTGATAAGCTATTGCAGTTCCTTTAGAGGTCTATATGATCCATGTGCTGTACTTGATAACAAAAAGTAAATTTCACCTACACATTATTTTTATAAAATAAAAGTCTGATTTTATCCAGACACTGTATAATACAGTTTGGAACCCCTGTCTCCATTGCCAGATTTTCACGTATCACATATTGGGTTAGTTGCTAGGCCCTAAAGTAGAGGATATTAAGGGCTTTTAAAACAAAGTTAAGCAGTTTTATTTTTTTTAAATATTTTCGAGATTGGCCCTTTAATCTTGTGTATTTAGCACAAATTTCTTTCACATTCATTCAATATCAAATCTTTGTTTGAAAATTTAGAAAAATCATTTTAAATCAATAAAAACAATCTAATCTATACTTATGTGTGGCCTAATGCCGACCGATTAATTTTGATAATAAGTTTCCAATTTACAAGTATTTAATTTCCTGACCACTGTTCAAAAATTAATCATTATACATCAATAATCAATTGAGTTGTCAATTTAGGTGACAGGAGGGTTAGATGGCCGATTGGTTAGCACGTGCACGCTGTATCATACGGTCAGTCATTGAGTCAACTGGCAGGGTTTCGATTCCCCAGTTATACATGACAAGGAGTAGGGTCGCCTATCCAACTTCGTGGGTTTTCTCCGAGTCCTCTGGTTTCCTCCCACTGCTAAAGACCCCTACGCGTAAGCGAATTATTGAAATAAAATTGAACAATGTGTTGGTCTCGAAATGACCCAGTATGTACCGATCGGACGTTAAACCCCATTTCTTTCTCTCTCTCTATTTAGGTGACGAAAATGTACGAAGATTGTTTACGAGAAAAAGATACTATGGTTGTGAATTACGCTGTTGCCGAACAAAAAAATATTGAAGCCAAGAAGGCCACAGAGAAAATGGAAAATAAATTCAAAGAAAAGATAAAGGAACAGGAATCATTAATAGCTAAATTAAAAGCCATGAGAGGTGAAAAACAAAAAATAGCAGCTGAGGTTGATGCTAAGGTTAGTCACTTTCATTTTTCATGACTTGAAGATTCGTTACTTTGCAGGCATCGAAACTATTTGATTAAAATACAGATCTATATTTCGTTTTGTTTTTTTATACTTTCGATGGCCTACACTACATGAAGATCTGACCAGTTGTTTTGGTAAGTTGCGTCAGAGGTCATGCTAGTGGCTTTTGACCCTATGATGTCAGACATTTGATTAACAAATCATCATTGATGTTTCTAGTGGATTACCCACAGTTCCGTTCACCTCTCACCTAAAGCTCGCTGTAATAGACCGTTTCATTGGCTAATCCCTCACATCATCCAGAACATGGGTTGTATAACAACTCTTCCTAGTAAAGAGAAGTATAACGAAATTTTGAGCTATAAAAAACGAAACGAAATAGGATCTGTAGTTTAAGATTTTTTGTCTATGGAAATTCTAGTTCCATTAAGATTTTTTATACTGGTTTTTTTCAGTTAAATGAATTATCAGGAGCACATAAAGAAATGGAAAGAATGAAAGAAATGTTAACTTCTGCTGATGTTAGAATTAAGTGGGCACAGAATAAACTGAAAGCAGAATTGGAAGCTCATAAGGTAAAACAAACACGCACATTTTTTTAATGATTAAAGTCTCTGATATTCATCATTTCAGGGATTTTGGATCCCTTGTAAACTAAAATTATGTGAAAGTTGAATATCTGAAAGGAATATCAATTCCATTTATCATTAACAAAGATACATGTATGACAAACTGAACATTTCCTAACATTCAGTGGGGGTGGATGGCCGAATGGTTAGTGCGTGCATGTTGCATCATAATGTCTGTCATTGAGTCAACTGGCGTGGTTTCGATTCCTTGGTTGTATGTGACAAGGAGTAGGGTCACTTGTCCAGTCTGGTGGGTTTTCTCCGGGTCCTCCGGTTTCCTCCCACTGCTAAAGACCCCTACGCGCAAGCAAATTATTGAATGTTCCAAAATGACCTAGTTTGTGTCGAGTGGGCGTTAAACCTCTCTCTCTCCCTCATTACATGAGAATTCATTACAAAGGCATATTTTTTAGGAAACTAAAATAGAACTAGAAAAAACAACCCAGAAGTTAAAGATGGCTAAAGAAGAAACATGGCAAATACGTAAAGATTGTCAAGCTATAGTTAAACAGTATCAGGTTAGTTATATTCACATATTTCTAATCTGATTAAAACACAGATCCTATTTTCTTTTGGTTTTTTATAGTTCAAAATTTACTACGCTAGCATCTGGAAGAGTTGTTAAATAACCTGTGTTCTGGATGATGTGAGGGATTAGCCAAAGAAACGGTCTGTTACAGGAGTTCCTGGCGTGAGGTGCACGGAACTGTGGGTAACCCACTAAAAATATCAACGCTGATTAGTTAATCAAATGTCTGATGTCATAAAGATACCTGTAAGAGTATTGAAACGTTGCATGTAATAAACTAAGAAGTAGTAAATCCATAAAGTTGTGTTATTATGAAAATATTTTTGATATTTCAGGAATCAGAAGAAATCAAATCTAATAGTCTAGATAAAGAATTAAAATTGAAAGAATCTGAATTAATTGTTCAAAGACAGGAAAAAAGTGATTCACAAGAGGTAACAATGTATTTCTTTTATTATAAAACAATATTCTTTTTACTCAGTTCTTTAAAAATGCATTATGTAAGAGCTAAATCTGCCTATAGCAGGTTTTTTATTTGAGAAGGTACTGTCATGAGTAATCTTTAAAGGACCTAAATCGCTAATATTTTGGATCTAGAAATTGACACAAATGGGTCGCAACGCATATAATAATGTAATGTGAATGTATATAAACTGATTTACATTCAATCGTTTCTTTTTTTATTGCAATTTCTAATCAGTTATGTTCGGCGAAATACACCAGAAGTCTCAATCGAATGGCAATCTCTAGCGTCTAGTTATTCCACTCTATACTGATAGTATTTATTGCGCATGCTCTCCAGATAAGAATATGGCGTCACCGTATCTAGCCTCTTTCTACAAGTCCCTTGTTAAAAATGGCGCTGAAATGCACAATGGTACACGATTCGTGTACCAACGGTAAAATGTTTATTTTGTCTTAATTATTTGATATCAGAATCCCATCTTTTCGCCTGTCCAACCTCGTGGGTTTTCTCCGGGCCCTCCGGTTTCCTCCCACTGCTAAAGACCCCTATGCGCAAGCGAATTATTGAAATAAAATTAAACCATATGTTAGTCCCGAAATGACCTAGTTTGTGTCGAGTGGACGTTAAACCCCATTTCTCTCTCTCTCTCTCTCTGCCTATTGTAGATCTTCCTTTTGGCTGCAAATTTCATACATATTATTAATTAGACATTTATTAACATAACAAGACCACAATCAACTCACCGATGCCATCAGATGGCTCAAGTTCAGCTATTTAATGATTCAATTTAAAATGGATAAGCGAGGCTAAGACTCATATGACCAGAACGGTGGTTACAATCAATGCACACACTTGTCAAAACTACAACCATTAATAACTTTGCTAAAAATAAAGTAATTTGAATGAAATTTTAAATATACTATTCAAAAAAAGTAGGGGATATTTGATTTTTAAGTGTTATTAAAGTCACCTAATGAAACTGACGAAGAAACAAATGACAAAATGAAATGAAGTTCACATTCATCGATTTATTCCAAATGATCGTTAGACTAAGTAAGGCACAGACTGACCATTATAAGGGTAAAATGATACCCGGGGTCAAACAGCAAAGTTACCACAGCATCACAACCAAGTCAGCAACGGGTAAATCCTCCTCTGTTTGCCAAACAAGCATTGATCCGACGTGGCATACTCCTAATGAGACGTCTAAGGTCATTTTGGTCCAGATTGTCCCATTCCTGTTGCAACGCAGCAGCAAGTTCTTGGACATTGGCAGGACGTTGTTGACGTTGACGTAACCTCTGTCCAAGCATGTCCCAGACATGCTCGATGGGGGAGAGGTCGGGACTCAGTGCTGGCCAAGGTAATGTGGTGATGTTCTGTTGTTGGAGGTAACCTGTAACGATCCTGGCCCTGTGACATCTTGCGTTGTCATCCTGGAAGATGAAACGGCGGCCATGACGTCGTGCGAACGGCACAACATGGACTGCCAAGATGTTGTCCCGGTAGTACTGGCCTGTAACACGCCCTGCAACAACATGTAAAGCTGTTCTTCCAGCAACAGTGATGCCTCCCCACACCATAACAGAACCACCCCCAAATCGATCATGTCTGATGACGTTAACGTCTTGGAAGCGCTCGTTTCGACGACGCCACACCCTCCTACGTCTGTCCCAAAAATCAACAGTGAACCTTGACTCATCTGAAAACATCACATTGCTCCAGCGTCGATTATCCCAGTGTTGACGATCCCTACACCAACGACATCTTGCCTGAATGTGATGATCTCTCAAACAAGGGATCACGCGAGGACGTCGGGCGCGAAGGTGACCCCTATGCAGTCGATTCCGAATCGTCTGGCCACTCACTCTCACACCAGTGTCTGTTTGAAGACGAGCGCTGATCTGATTTGCTGTGATGACACGATTTCTCAAGGCCAAGGTACGGATAAATCGATCCTGGGCTTGAGTTGTCGCCCTTGGTCGACCTGCTTATGACAGACTGAGAAACATTCATCGTCCGCGCCACAACCGCCTGTGTTGTGCCGATCTGTAGCATGCCAAGGGCACGTAACCTTTCATTTTGGGTAAGCCGACGCATATCAAAATTTGTTTTCTGGTCACTAAAACAATTAAACTGATGTTTCCACCCTGGAATTCAATGCCACAATGACTGTAACATTCAAAGTCAGAGTCGTGCAAATCTTGGGTTGGACCCCCATGATGATCCCAAGCATCACCTGCATTCCATGCGGTAGCTATTGGTGCGTTTGGGCGTCACATGTAACTGGAAATGTTTCTTCTGTTAGGTTCTATAGTGACTTTTTTCGTAGTCATTTGCATATTTTAGTATTATGCCCCCAAAATCAAATATCCCCTACTTTTTTTGAATAGTATATATTCATTTTTCATTATCTAAAGTTTTAATTTGAAATTTTTGTCGACAGCAGAGATGTGCAGAGAGTGAGAATACTTCCCAGGGGCATCCAATCAAAGAAATAAATTAAAATTAAGCTGTTTGAATTTGAAAATATTGCTGTTAACATTGTTTTGCAGGCTTTCCTATACTTGGGTCTTGGGGATTTATATTAGTGAGAATTATGTTTGGTTGCCTGGCAACCTATCTTTTAATATGTTGTATTATATAAATACTAAGTGTATGATTTGACTGTAAAAGAATTAGATGTTTTATATTAGTGAGAAATGTGTTTTGTTGCCTGGCAACTTATCTTTTGATACGTTATATATTATATAATTACTAGGTGTATAATATGACAGTAAAAGAATTAGATGTTTTAAAGTCTAAACATAAAGATGCTATAGAAGAACTTAAAACACTACGAGATAAGGTAATATTCATCTATCATTTCATAATTATAAGCTATTGTATTGACTGAAAAACTTCTCAGAATTTCCAATCTTGCCCCAAGTCCACAAAGCATTCTCAGATATAAGTTAATAATTTACTCAACTTTCAATCACTTTATGAGAAATATCTTTGATCCTGAAACACAAAACTTTCCACATAGTTTCTTATTGATGTATTTGATACATTAAAACAACAAAAGTTTTATAAAGAGCTATATTATAGTTAAAATAAGGCGAACAATTTTGAGTAAATTCTTAACTTAAGTCCGAGAATGCTTTGTGAACTCGAGGCCTGGTTTCCCCTGGTGACAAGAGAAAAGCCTTGAGTGGTTCACAATGGGAAGATAAACATGGATCCATCTATGTACTCATTGGCGTACATGTAAAAGAACCCTTGACAGTTAGAATTCAATGAAGACTAGACAGAAATGCTACTGTCCAGGGCCGAATGGTTAGCACAGGCACGCTATACCATAAGGTCTGTCATTGAGTCAACTGACGTGATTTCGATTCCCCGGTTGTACATGACAAGGAATAGGGTCGCCGAATGATTAGCACGTGTGCGCTGTATCATAAAGTCTGTCATTGAGTCAATTGACAGGGTTTCGATTCCCCGGTTGTACATGACAAGGAGTGGGGTCGCCTGTCCAACCTCGTGGGTTTTCTCCAGGTCCTCCGGTTTCCTCCCACTGCTAAAGACCCATACGCGCAAGCGAATTATTGAAATAAAATTGAACCATGTGTTAGTCCCGAAATGACCTAGTTTGTGTTGAGTGGACGTTAAACCCCATTTCTCTCTCTCTCTCCCTCCAGACAACAAATATTAGCAGAACAAGTAAACCAAAATGCAAAAAGGAAGCCATAAAATGTACCTTTAATTATACTACATGAAAGAGCCTGCCTTTTGATATAAATATATCCAAAAGTGTTCAAAATTTTAAACCATTTGTTTTGTTCTTTGGGGTGTACATCGTGTGCTGATACCTTTGTTAAAATTATTATTTCAGCAGCTATTATATTTCATCTTATTTTTTTAAATAAATATTTGTGTTCCTTCCTGATAATACGTGTATATATGTTTTGTAGTTTATACCCTGTCAGACCGGGATAGCATCCTCACTTCGCTGCTACGGCAACGGAAAATGGTTTTAGAGCGCGTTAAGATCGCCATAAGTGTAGTGGAAACGACAGCTATCGTGATGTGGTCACCATGGTCGCCAATGATCGCCGAGTCACAGTGTTTGTTTTGAACATGTTCAAAACAAACGACAAGGTTTTGTGTTCTGAATTGGAAAGCTATGAGAATATAACTTTTTTCAAGTTTGTAATTTTTTGGGACATTTTCGCGCGTTGTGTTCACGTTTGCCGGCGACCTTGTGCATTTTTGGTTACCGTACGGTCGCAGCAGCGCAGTAAGGACGCCACCCCGGTCTGACGGGGGCATTAGAAGGGACATATATATATATAAAAGATTTGGGGGTTGGATGGCCAAGTGGTTTTTCGATTCCCTGGCTGTACGTGACAAGGAGTAGGATTGCCTGTCCAACCTCATGGGTTTTCTCCGGTTTCCTCCCACTGCTAAAGACCCCTACACGCAAGCGAATTATTGAAATGAATTGAACCATATGTTAGTCCCTAAATGACCCTGTTTGTGTCGAGTGGACATTAAACCTCCCAAAATGACCTAGTTTGTGTCAAATGGAGGTTAAAATCCATCTCTCTCTCTCTCTCTCTCCCTCTCTCTCTATGAAAGATTACTTTGTCACAAACTGAACCAGTTGCCTCATTAAATAAAGTTATTTCTGTAGCTTATTTTGTTTATCATTGAAGGTTTATTGTTTAGAAGATGAAAGAAAACAGAATGAAGAAACAATGTCTAAATATAAAGAAATAATACAGAAACAGAAAGGTGAAAATAAAACATGTCATGATAAACTTGGTAATCTTGGTCAATTAGAGGATGATTTCACCAGGTAATTACGTTTCTTTTTACCTTGTTATACAGGTATGAATAGAGATGAGCTGGTACAGGTGTTATTGGTAAAAACGATCGGGAATAGGGACTATTTTGTAACCTGTAATTCCTCAATATTCAAATTTGTTTCCAACTGAATATTGTTCAATACATCAATGGCCAATTATCGGCAAGTATTGATATGTACAAATACCTCAATAATCGGCTGATACCCATGATCTGCAGCTACATAAGAGTAGGCTGTAGTACCGCTGTTCCGGCAAAATTTCTCTCACATAACACTGGATGGCGTATTCTAAGTATGATTAATTCACGATACTTTCATTATATTGTAGTTTGCCAGGAATTTCTATAGTACTAAAAACAAATTATTTTTTCTCTCTATAATCAACAGAGCTCAAGATATGATAAAGAATTTAGATCGTGAGATAGCAGATTTACGAATAACGAACAAAGATCTTCAGTTAGATATTGAAGGCTGTCGAACAAGAGAGAGTGAACTATTAGAATTAACACAGAAACTAAGTCGTACTAACGCTAAATTACAGTCAGAAAATACTAATTCAAATAATCAGGTATGGTCATATTGTTTTATAAAACTATCTCAAATATTTTACCAGATATGGTTATTAGGAAATTATTATCACCACTTGGTTCCATTTGCCATCACCTCTCCTGCCTGCCCCATCTCTCGTTTTCAGAAGTCCTTATGATGCCACTGAAGTAGTAGTTATATATACTATTTAGGGAGATTTGGTGCTAGAGAGCAAGAAGTCCTGGGTTTGATCCAGGTGTTGGCTGAGAGAGTTTCTTCTGATGGTAGACCTGGCCAGGATATGCATTGAGACAAAAACCCATAGACAGCATGTGATCCCCTGATAATTTGAAATCTGTCCCACCTCAACTTCTCTTTTAAGCGAGTCCTGACGTTTATTTAGTACATACCTCTCTATTGTCATATCTATATTAGTATTACGGGGGGTTGGAAGGTCGAATGGTTAGCATGGACGCGCTGTATCATAAGGTCTGTCATTGAGTCAAGGGGGGTTGTATGGCCGATTGGTTAGCACGGGCGCGCTGTATCATACGGTCTGTCATTGAGTCAACTGGCGGGATTTCGATTCCCCGGTTGTACGTGACAAAGAGTAGGGTCGCCTGTCCAACCTCGTTGTTTTTAAATGTGTCCTCCGGTTTGCTCCCTCTGCTAAAGACCCCTACGCACAAGCGAATTATTGAAATAAAATTAAACCATTTGTTAGTCCTGATATGACCTAGTTTGTGTCCCTTTATCAGATGATAATTATACATAAGCTATACAATACATGTATTTTATATGAGAGATATGTGTAATGATTAGATAGTATTATCATAATAGATAACTGTTATCTAATATTACAGGTTGTATCATTATCTAGTAAAGCCAGCAATATGGAGATGGAAATACAAAGTCTAGAAGAAAAATGTAGAGATTTAGTACGTAAAATTATGTGTATCTTTGATTATCTCGTAATAGAATTATCTTATCTTGAGAATATGTTTTGTCTTTCTATAAGTTTATAAACTAGACTTTAAAATGTCTTAACTCAAGGTTACCGGTATATATTTTAACCTTTCAACCAGTTCGATACAATCCGACAGATAGGAGATGACACATGCCTGCATATAACTACTTAGTTTATAAACTAGATTTCAAAATGTGTTCCCATAAAGTTATATATTTTAACCTTTTGGAAGATAAAGTTGGTCAGATCCGAGGTGACACATACATTAATTTTTAATTTATTTATGCTGCATTTATTGTTTGTTTTTGTAGGCTGAGAGGTTGAGTGAAGAGGAGAAAAAATATGGAACAGAATGTGTCAGTTTAAAAACAGAATTAGCTGAAAAAAATAAAACAGGTCTGTCAAATAAATATTTGATATTTCTTTCATTTTAACACGTGTTTAAATTCATTTAGTATCACTGACAGCCTACAGAGTTGATTATAGGTTTGTCACTTTAAACATACATTATGCAAGAGCTAAATCTGCCTATTGCAGGTCTTTCTTTAGTCCTGAAATGTTTTCTAAATTATTAATTAGACATTAACTTATCCAGGCCATAATCAACTCTCGATGGCTTCGGATTTCTTCGATATTAAATAGATTAGAACGGTTCAGCCATATTTTGATTTAAGCTAAAAATGAAGGAGTGGGACTTAGCTTCGAACAACCAGTACGGTGGTTGAAATTATTGCACACGTCTTGTCAAACCTTCAAAGGCTAATATCTTCGCTCGCAATAGAGTAATTTGAATGAAATTTTCAAATTATTCATTTTACATGATCTATTTTTCGAACTATTATAGCAAGAATGGTTAGCTCTTTATCTAAATCTTACATAATGTATCTTTAATAAATGTCTAAATAATAATTTATAATAACATTTGAGACCAGATAAAAGCTCTTACATAATGTAAATTATAAAGAATGGTAATCATATAATGTCTTGTTATTGTGTTGATTGTACGTGACAAGGAGTAGGGTCGCCTGACCAACCTCATAGGTCTTCTCTTGGTCCTCCGGTTTCCTCCAACTGATAAAGACCCCTACACGCAAGCGAAAGAATTATTGAAATAAAATTGAACAGTATGTTAATTCCGAAATGAACTAGTTTGTGTCGAGTGGATGTTTAATCCCATCTCTCTCTATTTCAGTATCTGACTTAAAACAGAAATTGGAAGATGAAAAAGATTTGAACCGAACATTAAAACGTAAACATGCTAATAACATCAAGGTAAGATTACATGTTTGAAACACAAGTTGTGTAGCTGAGGGAATGGGGTACAGTGTCGAAGAACAGGTACTTATTGTTTTTCTGGCAGGTCAGTAGAAGGATATTATAGGACTGACACAATTTTATTTTCTTCATGTATCAGACACTGTAGGCACCTGTGGGATGGGGTGTGTTGTCTCCTGGTAGGCAGGGGAAGGGAGCTGGTTTAATCTGATTAAAACACAGATCATATTTCGTTTTTATAGTTCAAAATTTCATTTTACTTGTCTTTACTATATTAGGATCTGGAAGAGTTGTTATATACCCCGCTTTCAGGATGATGTGAGGGGTTAGCCAATGCAATGGTCTGTTGCAGCGAGTTTGTGGCGTGCGATGCACGAAACTGTGGGTTCCCTACTAGAAACATCAACACTGATTGGTTAATCAAATGTCTGATGTCATAGTTTCAAAAGCCGCTCGTATGACCTCTGATGTGACCTCCCACTACAACTGGTCAGATCTTAATGTAGTAGATGCCATCGAAAGTATAAAAAAATGAAATATAGATGTGTATTTTAATCAGAATGTTTTTGTCGAGTGAGATATATATATATATATATATATTTATTATATTTACAGGATTTAACAAGACAGTTACATCACGCTAAGAAAAAACTAGAAAGTTATGAAAATCATCACCATGGTGAGAAAGACGTAACTAGTCTTGGATCTCGGACCAGCTCTAATGGATCTTTAAACACAATGACAGATGGTCACTCACAACACCCTGCTCAACAAAATCATCATCATCATCATCATCATCAAGTTCAACCTGTTAAACCCCCAGAACCTGTAAGTCACATCTTGTTATATTCTCATCCTCAGATCCAATGTGGTTTCCCCTTGTCAGTGGTGACAAGGACAGCTGTCTGGTCTTTCGAATGATACAAAAAAAAACCGAGGTCTCGCTTGGCAGTTTGAATTCAATATAAGAGTAGGCCATAGAGCCGCTGCCCGGGCAAAATTTTCCTCATTGCACACTGTATGGAGTATGCCCATTTTCATTAGCCCAGTTCGGAGCAGAACAGTAGGATGTTAAACCCCATTTCATTTTGCACCCTGGGTTCCAATTTTTTTCCACCAGATATAGATCTATCCCCTTTCAAGAACACTCAAAATTTTACTTATTTCTACTTTTTTGTCCGCAATTGTCTTTTGACATACAAAACAAATCTATCAGTATCAGACATTTAAGAAAGTTCAGTTAGAGATTTTCATTTGATATATGACAATTGAGTTCATAATGACCGCCGTTCACCAATCCCAAGAATATATACACATTGTTAAACTATGGTAACAAACCTGGCTTCGCTTAAATAGTACAGACAAGAAAAAAATCAAATAAAAAGAATGTTCTCTCTGTCTTTATTTCTCAAAAAGGCTGAAGAACTATAATGTAAGGGAGACAAATTATGTCCAGTTTCAGACCACAAGGATATTCAGTATGACAATATACTCTGTTGACTTCTGAGAATTGGTTGGGTGATCTAATGAATCGCACTTTATCCATAAGTAAACAAACACTCTTAAATTGTTTTTTTGATCCACATTTTGATCCACATCAATATAGTGGTATAAAACAGTTTTATTTCTACGACATCGGCAGGACTAAAAATATCAATTATTAATTTATCCTGTGTTGTCTTGGTATATATTGACCTAGTTATGAATCGTATCGTAGCACCCAAATCGCAATATGCATCGTGTTGTGACTGTAGTGGCAATACCCAGCACTAATATGGCGAATGACTGTCTTTATTAACGCCTGTCTGAGCAGAAAGTAGGCCTTTATTTTAACCGGGGTTTTTATTTGTTTGTAGGAATATCCGGTGATAACAGAACAAGTAGAAGTAGATAAACAGGTTTTAATAGAGAGAATCGTACGACTACAGAAAGCTCATGCTAGAAAAAATGAAAAACTAGAATTTTTACAAGATCATATCCAACAATTAGTGGATGAGGTTCAGAGAAAGAAAAGGTTAGTGTATCAGGCCTAAAAATAATGATTTGTGCTCCTAGCTTAAGGAAAGGTTAGTACCAGGCCTAAAAATAATGATTTGTGCTCCTAGTCTAGGGAAAGGTTATAGTACCAGGCCTAAAAATAATTATTTGTGCTCCTAGCCTAAGGAAAGGTTAGTACCCAGCCTAAAAGTAATGATTTGTGCTCCTAGCCTAAGGAAAGGTTAGTACCAGGCCTAAAAATAATGATTTGTGCTCCTAGTCTAAGGAAAGGTTATAGTACCAGGCCTAAAAATAATTATTTGTGCTCCTAGCCTAAGGAAAGGTTAGTACCAGGCCTAAAAATAATTATTTGTGCTCCTAGCTTGAGGAAAGGTTAGTACCAGGCCTAAAAATAATGATTTGTGCTCCTAGTCTAAGGAAAGGTTATAGTACCAGGCCTAAAAATAATTATTTGTGCTCCTAGCCTAAGGAAAGGTTAGTACCCAGCCTAAAAGTAATGATTTGTGCTCCTAGCCTAAGTAAAGGTTAGTACCAGGCCTAAAAATAATGATTTGTGCTCCTAGTCTAAGGAAAGGTTATAGTACCAGGCCTAAAAATAATTATTTGTGCTCCTAGCCTAAGGAAAGGTTAGTACCAGGCCTAAAAATAATTATTTGTGCTCCTAGGTTGAGGAAAGGTTAGTACCAGGCCTAAAAATAATGATTTGTGCTCCTAGTCTAAGGAAAGGTTATAGTACCAGGCCTAAAAATAATTATTTGTGCTCCTAGCCTAAGGAAAGGTTAGTACCCAGCCTAAAAGTAATGATTTGTGCTCCTAGCCTAAGGAAAGGTTAGTACCAGGCCTAAAAATAATTATTTGTGCTCCTAGCCTAAGGAAAGGTTAGTACCCAGCCTAAAAGTAATGATTTGTGCTCCTAGCCTAAGGAAAGGTTAGTACCAGGCCTAAAAATAATGATTTGTGCTCCTAGTCTAAGGAAAGGTTATAGTACCAGGCCTAAAAATAATTGTTTGTGCTCCTAGCCTAAGGAAAGGTTAGTACCAGGCCTAAAATTAATTATTTGTGCTCCTAGCTTGAGGAAAGGTTAGTACCAGGCCTGAAAATAATGATTTGTGCTCCTAGCCCAAGGAAAGGTTAGTACCCAGCCTAAAAATAATTATTTGTGCTCCTAGTCTTAAGGAAAGGTTAGTACCAGGCCTGAAAATAATTATTTGTACCAGGCCTAAAAATAATGATTTGTGCTCCTAGCCTAAGGAAAGGTTAGTACCCAGCCTAAAAATAATTATTTGTGCTCCTAGTCTAAGGAAAGGTTAGTACCAGGCCTGAAAATAATTATTTGTACCAGGCCTAAAAATAATGATTTGTGCTCCTAGCCTAAGGAAAAATACACAATAACACAAATGTTATTATTCAAAATGTTGATATGAGAATGCCAATCTGATTAAAATACAGATCTGTCTTTTGTTTCGTTTTTTTTATACTTTCGATGGCCTACACTACTTGAAGATCTGGCTAGGTGTAGTGGAAGGTCGAGTCAGAGATCACACAAGCGAATCAGATTGAAAAATGCTTGTGAAACCGGGGCCCGGTATCAGAGATTTTAGGTTTTTGACTGTATGTCTTTTTCTCGGAATACTTACAATGAGCACATTGTATCGTAAGGTCTGTCATTGGGTCAACTGGCGTGTTTTTATTTCCGCGGTTGTCTGTGGCAAGGAGTAAGGTCGTCTGTCCAACCTCGTACCAGGCCTAAAAATAATGATTTGTGCTCCTAGTCTAAGGAAAGGTTATAGTACCAGGCCTAAAAATAATTATTTGTGCTCCTAGCCTAAGGAAAGGTTAGTACCAGGCCTAAAAATAATTATTTGTGCTCCTAGGTTGAGGAAAGGTTAGTACCAGGCCTAAAAATAATGATTTGTGCTCCTAGTCTAAGGAAAGGTTATAGTACCAGGCCTAAAAATAATTATTTGTGCTCCTAGCCTAAGGAAAGGTTAGTACCCAGCCTAAAAGTAATGATTTGTGCTCCTAGCCTAAGGAAAGGTTAGTACCAGGCCTAAAAATAATTATTTGTGCTCCTAGCCTAAGGAAAGGTTAGTACCCAGCCTAAAAGTAATGATTTGTGCTCCTAGCCTAAGGAAAGGTTAGTACCAGGCCTAAAAATAATGATTTGTGCTCCTAGTCTAAGGAAAGGTTATAGTACCAGGCCTAAAAATAATTATTTGTGCTCCTAGCCTAAGGAAAGGTTAGTACCAGGCCTAAAATTAATTATTTGTGCTCCTAGCTTGAGGAAAGGTTAGTACCAGGCCTGAAAATAATGATTTGTGCTCCTAGCCCAAGGAAAGGTTAGTACCCAGCCTAAAAATAATTATTTGTGCTCCTAGTCTTAAGGAAAGGTTAGTACCAGGCCTGAAAATAATTATTTGTACCAGGCCTAAAAATAATGATTTGTGCTTCTAGCCTAAGGAAAGGTTAGTACCCAGCCTAAAAATAATTATTTGTGCTCCTAGTCTAAGGAAAGGTTAGTACCAGGCCTGAAAATAATTATTTGTAGTGGAAGGTCGAGTCAGAGATCACACAAGCGAATCAGATTGAAAAATGCTTGTGAAACCGGGGCCCGGTATCAGAGATTTTAGGTTTTTGACTGTATGTCTTTTTCTCGGAATACTTACAATGAGCACATTGTATCGTAAGGTCTGTCATTGGGTCAACTGGCGTGTTTTTATTTCCGCGGTTGTCTGTGGCAAGGAGTAAGGTCGTCTGTCCAACCTCGTAGGGTTTCTCCGTGTCCTTCGGTCTATTCCCGCTGCTCAACCCCTACACGCAAGCGAATTATTGAAATAAAATTGAACCATATGTTAGTCCTGAAATGACTTAGTTTGTGTCGAGTGGATGTTAAACCCCATGCATTTCTCGCTCTCTCTCTCTCTCTCTCTCTCTCTCTCTCTCTCTCTCCTATTGTATTTTCGTTGATTATTGATAATTCCCTCCCTTGTCAGTGGTGTGGAAAACTGTGGTCCTGTGTATATTTTGGAGTGCATGTTAAAGAACCTTCACGGTTGGAATACGAAAATAGAGTAGGCTGTAGTACCGCTGTCTAAGCAAAATTTCCCTCATAGCACATTGTATAGCATACACCCATCCTCATTAGCCCAGTCGGTACAGAAAAGTTGGACGTTTAAATAACCCGATTTTATTTGATTTCAGAATAATCCAGAGTTATATACTGAGAGAAGAACAAGGAGCCTTGGCACCTGAAGCAATGGATGAAAATAAGGTAAGTCGGTATTTATTGGAGGTAAATAATTCTATATATCAAAAGGGGTTCGGTGACTGAATGGGTTAAAGCGTGCACTTTAAATCATAAGGCCTGTCATTAAGTCAAGTGGTGTGGTTTTGATTCACAGCTTGTAGGTCGCCTGTCTAATCTCTTTGGCTTTAGGGGGGGTGGATGGCTGAATGGTTAGCACGTGGATGCTGTATCATAAAGTCTGTCATTGAGTCAACTGGCGTGGTTTCGAATCCCCAGTTGTACTTGACAAGGAGTAGGGTCGCCTGTCCAACCTCGTGGGTTTTCTACAGGTCCTCCGATTTCCTCCCACTGTTAAATACCCAAATGCACAAGCGAATTATTGAAATAAAATTGAACCATGTTATTCACAAAATGTCCTAGTTCTCTTTCTCTATCTTTCTCTATTTCCCCCTCCCCCCCCCCCCTTTTGGATTTGTTATATATTCATGTACATATTCAATTCACGAAGTAAAACTTAGCTGATTCTTCACCACTACAAATGTGAAAGAACTTAAGTTAATTATGCTTTTTCCCAGAAGGTTACAATGTATCCCAGGTATCATTTAATCTTGTGTATTTAGCACTAATTTCTTCACATTCGTTCAATATCAAATCTTTGTTTAAAAATTCGTAAAAATTCTTTAAAATCACCAAAAATTATCAAATTCGTAAGCCATAACGCCACTGTCCATGCAAAATTACCCTTGTAGTACTCTGTATGGCATAGGCCCGTCTTCATTAGCCCAGTCAGTGCAGCAAAGTAAGACATTAAACCCCATTTGGTTTCCCTATAGCACATCATTGATGCGGAATGAAGACTGATGTGTTAATGAATAATTTGAGCAAATATTTTGTTACCAATCTGTCCGTCATCTGATCCTCACATATCATGTTAGCAAAATAGAGGTCCACCATATAATATAAATTGATATGAGTCGTCTATATCCTGCAAATGAAGTTGCCAATCTGATTAAAATATAGATCCTATTTCGATTCTTATTTTATAGTTCAAAATTCCATTTTACTTGTCTTTACTACACTAGGATCTGGAAGCGTTCTGGGTTTGTGAAGGACTTGTCAATCAAAAGTTGTATTTCCAAACAGCGATTGTAACACCAACGCTGATTGGTTAATCAAATGACTGACGCCATAGTGTCAAAAGTAACTCTGAAAATAACCAGTCAGATTACAAATAATAAAAAACGAAACGAAATATAGATCTGTATTTTAATTAGATTGTAGAGCTATAGGCTTTAATTTAGTACATAACTGACTTCCCTGCTGGTGGGTGGGCGTGTCTTGTTGCCTTCAACCTAATATTGAAGGTGTGTACTATGATATATATGATAAAAGGTTTGTATAATAAGGATGCCAGTTGCATGTAAATAAATAATAGTTATCCTTTCTTTTTACCCAAACCCTGGAACTTTGATTTTTTTAATAGTTGGTGATGGTAACGCGGAAAGGGCCTTTTGTATAATAAGGACGCCAATTGCATGTAAATAAAGAATAGTTATTCTTTCTTTTTACCCAAACCCTGGACCTTTGGGTTTTTTTTTAAATAGTTGGTGATGGTACTGGGGATGGCCATTAGTTTGTTTATTTATTTATTTCCTCATCCAATCAAAAGTTAAGGCTATAATGCATTATAAGTATATATTATTGTTGTAACGTACACCAGTTCTACTGTCACTAGATCTTTCTCTCTGTGTTTAAAATTTCTTGATGTCCTTAAGTGATTTTTTTAAAGCACTCACTTGAAAAATTTCTTGATGTCCTAAGAGATTTTTTAAAAGCACTCACTTGAGAAATTTCTAGACATTCTATAAGATTTTTTAAAAGCACTCACTTGAGAAATATTTTGACGTCGTAAGAGATTCTTTTAAAAGCACTCAATTGAAAGATTTCTTGAAGCCCTATGAGATTTTTTAAAAACACTCACTTGAAATGGCCCTTGGTTTTTACGGTAAAGTTGATATCGTTGACTTCTGGACAAGTCTGAAAATATTTGCCACAAACCGATAAAAGTCATTTTATATACATAATGTTTTTTAGTCAGTTAAAATTGTTAGTAATCAAGTTGTAATCAAGTTGGGGGACATTTTTACCGAAAATAAAGGGATATAACTCTTATCGTTATTTAAGATGGCAGTTTTTAGACCACACACAAAAATCACGTGTAAACAAAATATTCGAATTCGTCCGTAATAAAAAAAATAGGTGCACCTCGTTATTTTTCATATTTAATTCCCTTATGGTATTCAAATTTATGTCAGTAACATTCCTACAAAATTCTGTTGAAACTAGTCTATAGTTCTCACTTACACTTTTAATTTCCACTTTTAATACATTGGAATTTTAAACCTTTTGTTACGGGTCCCGATGGTCACACCTTTCTTGGCGAGGGGGGGGGGGGGGTGGATGGCCAAATGATTACACATGTGTGTTGTATCATAAGGTTTGTCATTAAGTCAACTGGTGTGGTCTCAATTCCCCGGTTGTACCTGACAAGCCTACTGCTAAAGACCCCTAAAGCGCAAGTCCCATAGTCCCGAAATGACCTTCTTTGTGTCGAGTGGATGTTAAACCTCATTTCTCTCTCACTCTCTCTTTGGCCAAATGTTTAGAATAAACAATGGTCACTCAATATTAAATCACTGTTTGTGTGCGTTTGTGTGCAATGCTTGGTGAAATGTTGTTATAATCTGATTCGGGCCAAAACAATTTAATTTCAAGTTCATCAGGGTCTTGATAAATAAAAAGCTACTCGAGTCTTGTGTACATTGTTTTGTTTAGTATTTCAAAACTGAACAAATTTAGAATAAAAGCTTTTGAGAAGAGTAACTACGTAATTTTTGTTATTAGATATTTATTTTGCCCAAAGAAAAAAAGTAGTAAGATTTTTACACCTGTTCCCAAAAAAACAAACATTCAAATTGATGTGGCCTAATTAAAGATACATTATGTTAGAGCTAAATCTGCCTATTTCAGGACTTTCTTTAGGCCTCAAATGTTATATAAACCATTAATTAGACATTAACTTAATAAACTCTCTAGAACTTTGATGGTTTTGATTTTCAACAGATTTAAATACCATCAGAGGATAATGATTTAATTCAAAAATGGACAATCAAGACTTTGTTTATTATTGTAACAAAGATAGTAATGACGACCAAGACTACACTGTTCTGCAAGCGACGATAGCTCCGCTCAGAATGAAGTCATTTGACGGAAATTTTGAACATATTCCCTTTTCATTATCTATTTTTCAACTAATTAAATGGACATTATGGGAGATTAGATAAAGAATTGACAGTTCTCACTATAATAGTTAAAAAATAGATCACATATATATAATATGCTGAAAATTTCAAATTGCTCGACTCTGAACTGAGATATTAGCTTTTGAATTTTAGGCTAGCCTTGATCATCATTACTAAAGTCGGTACAATAAAAAACCAAGTCTTGATTATTCAGTTTTACCTTTAATTATTTCTCAAAAAATGTATTCCAATCTGCTAAATATCACAGGCTAGCGTTGACATCGAGAGTTAATTATGGTCTGGATAAGTTAATTAAAGTCTAATTAATAATTTAGATAACATTTCAGGCCTAAAGAAAGACCTGCAACAGGCAGATTTAGTTCATGCATAATGTATGTTTAACTATGTCAGCTCTTTATCTAAATTTTACATAAAGCATGTTTTATTTAACACTTCTTATTTTTGTTTTTAAATTCTTGTCTTCTTTTAAATATTGTTTGGTATTTGCATGGCTTGGCTAACCTTTTTATTTTTCTTTCAATTAGCATAACATTAGGAGTGAGGTTCAGGTAGGCCCCCTCTAATTATTTCAACTTTCCTCTCTCCCTTGGGCCCCTTTTTTAGCCCTAACGGTATAAATTGATATTTTTATGTGAAAAGTGGTGGCATGTGCCCCAACCTGATTAAAACACAGATCCTATTTCATTTCGTTTTGTTTTTATAGTTCAAAATTTTGTTTTACTTATCTTTACTACACTAGGATCTGGAAGAGTTGTTATCATTCATGTGTTCTGAATGATGTGAGGGATTAGCCAATGAAACGGTCTGTTACAGCGACTTCTTGGCCTTTTTATGCACGGAACTGTGGGTAAACCACTAGAACGCAGATTGATTAAACAATGTCTGAAGCCACTCGTTTGACCCCTGATGTGAACTCCCACTATAACTGGTCAGATCTTCATGTAGTGTAGGCCATCGAAAGTATAAAAAAACGAAACGAAATATAGATCTGTATTTGAATCAGATTGCACGTGCCCATGTCCTAACGCGCCTAATATGAGAAATCTGACTGAACAGATGAGATTTTGGGAACCCTCAGGTATATGTGGGGGGGTTGGATGACCGAATGGTTAGTGCTTGCGCATTGTATCAGGTCTGTCATTGAGTCAACTGGCGTGGTTTCGATTCTCCGGTTGTACGTCACAAGTAGTAGGATCACCTGTCCAACCTCGTCAGTTTTCTCTGGGTCCTCCGGTTTCCTCCAAGTGCTAAAGTCACCTACGCGCAAGCAAGTTATTGATATAAAATTGAAGCATATGTTAGCCCCGAAATGACCTGGTTTGTGTTGAGTGGACGTTTAACCCCATTTCTCTCTCTCAGGTATATGTAAGTTGTCCCAAGATGTCTGTAAGTGGGAACAATTTGGGAACTGGTGTTACATCTAATCCAGTTATGCTTTATATATCAGCACTCCAGTATTACCAACATTTCTAAAGTTAAAAGAATATAAAATTTAAAAGAAAAAAAAATTTAACGAACAATACAGATACAAATTTAGTTCGGGGATTTGCATATCTATTAATCCATCCTGTTTTAATCCTTAATCGGGTTATTGGTTTTTTTTTAATCTTGATTACCTAACTAGGTTAAAAATGAAAACAGAGTTGAGTATTTCACCCACAAAACAAGTAAAAGGGGGCCTTCTCAGGGGGGGTGATAAAACGGAAAATTATGAAATCAAAAATTTATGAATTTATATCATTATACTGATATACATTCTTAATGCAATGTTATTTCAATTGAAAATATTACTTATACACATTACCTGGTGGAAACTATTACTTATGTACATTACCTGGTAGAAAATATTACTTATACACATTACCTTGTGGAAATTATTACTTATGCACATTACCTGGTGGAAATATAAATTTGTTTTGAGATATAACTCTGTTTTTCATTTTGGCTGACCATAAATAGGTTTTACATGCAACAGGCATTTTTGAATGACTGCGAAACATAGCACCTTTTTCGACAATCCATTGACAATCTACACAAGATAGTTTTGGAAATTGAAAGTTTTTTCTTTATATTTGATGGATTTTCTATAATATTATTTGATATAATTTAAGCTTATAATTGGTTTAGAATTAAATATTTTTATGTTTGTTATTAAACATCTTTGTAGATTTAATCCTGACATTACTGAAGCAAGTATGATATTAATGATTACTTGTTCAATGTAATGATTCCAAGCCCTCGGCCCTGTTTCTCGAAATCTTAACTAAAGATAAAATGTAAATTTTAGTAGATATTCCAATTTTGATTGGCTAAGCACTATAATCAATCAAATATTGTCCAATCAAATTACTAAAATTTGGATTTTATCTTAGGTACAATTTCGTTAAACAGCCCCCAGAGTCCTTGTATCATTAGAAATTGGAGCTATGTTGAGAAGTCAAGTCATTTTCCACAATAAACTACTGAAATTAAAATATGATTGTTATTAATGAATATGTTTATGAATTACAGGCTTTGTTAGCGAAGAAAGGTGGAATAATGGCTTCGCTGTACAGTTCACATCCACAAGATGGTCACATGACGTTAGATTTGTCTTTAGAAATAAACCAAAAGCTTCAAAGTGTTTTAGAAGATACATTGTTAAAAAATATTACCCTCAAGGTGAGGCCATGTAATAATATATTACCCTTAATGTAAGGCCATATTTTAAAAATATTACCCTCAAGATAAGGCCATATCGAAATAATATTACCCTCAAGTTAAGGCCATATAAAAATATGACCCTTAAGGTAAGGCCATATTTAAAAAATATTACCCCCAAGTTAAGGCCAAAAAGAAAAATATTACCCTCAAGGTTAGACCATATTTGAAAATATATTACATTCAAGGTAAGGCCATATTGAAAATATTGCGCTGAAGGTAAGGCCATATTTTCAAAAATATTACCCTGACACTAAGTCCAAATAAAAGAAATATTACCCGCAAGATAAGGCCATATAAAAAAAATATTACCTTCAAGGTAAAGTCGTGTTAAAAAATATTACACTCAAGGTAAGGTCATATTAAAAATATTACCCTCAAGGTAAGGCCATATACAAAAGATATTACCCTCAAGGTAAGGCCATACAAAAATATAACCCTCAAGATATGGCCGTATACAAAAATAGTTTGTTGATTTTCAACAATTTCTGTTTCATTACCTGGCAACCTATCTTCTCTTTTCTTTCCAGGAGAATATTGATACACTAGGACAAGAAATTGCCAGATTATCAAAAGAAAACCGACAACTGCAGCTGCATTTACAAGGCCGTTAAAATCGACTATCAGAAGTGATGATTCTACAGATAAAATCTCTTTGTTTGTGTGATAGTTTGTATTCACTGTCTGTACACAGTGCTTGTGTAAATGCAACAGGCTTTTATATTCTTGGCAGACATTCTGTTTGTACACCATAAACTCTAAGAGAATGTTAAACTCAGTCAAATGGTTGTTGTTTAAATGCAACAGGCCTTTATATTCTTGGCAGACATTGTTTGTACACCATAAACTCTAAGAGAATGTTAAACTCAGTCAAATGGTTGTTGTTTAAATGCAACAGGCCTTTATATTCTTGGCAGACATTGTTTGTACACCATAAACTCTAAGAGAATGTTTAACTCAGTCATATGGTTGTTGTGTAAATGCAACAGGCCTTTATATTCTTGGCAGACATTGTTTGTACACCATAAACTCTAAGAGAATGTTTAACTCAGTCATATGGTTGTTGTGTAAATGCAACAGGCCTTTATATTCTTGGCAGACATTCTGTTTGTACACCATAAACTCTTAAGAGAATGTTAAACTCAGTCATATGGTTGTTGTATATATACAGCAGGCTTTTATATTCTTAGCCTACATTTTTTCTGTGTACACCATAAACTCTTATGAGAATGTGTAAGCCTACGATTACAGTCAGACGTTGTGAGATTATCCAAAATGACCCGCTTTCAAGCACGGCTTGTGTAATCCTTTATTTATTATATAATAGGCCTAAACAATTTAATTTTTAGCTTTTTGAGGTCTTTGATCTTAATAAATAAATAGCCAGTTTGAATGATGTTTTCTTTGAAATTTTGAATTTCAAAAATTTGAAACTCGAAACTTTTGAGAAGAGTGACCAAGTATTTTTTTGTTTTTAAACTATTTTTTTTCCCTAAGAAATAGAAAACAAAATTTAGTAGAGCTTCCTGGAGAACAGACATTCAAATTGGCATGGTCTTGTCAGTTATTTTGTATAATTGCCTGAGTACCTGTACTATGTAACTATAAACTGAAAGGGTAGTAACTATTAACTCAAAGGGAAGTAACTTCATTATTAATGGACAATAATAGGAATCAGACCACTAAGTTTGCCTGTATTATTAATGAATGATTGTTTGTATATTTTAGCCTGTATGTGATATATATATATAATTATCAGGCTTATATTCTTGTACAGTATGGTATTACAATATTTAACAATGGTTGTGATGATCCTATCACTTGTGGTGAGATATTAGTGCATGCAGATTGTAAAAAACTCGAGAAAATGTAGGCCAATATCTTATAAATTGGTTATATTGTTGAAGTCTAGATAATTGTATGAATTATCAAAGCAAACATTTAAACTATGTATGTAGTATATTGAGATATTTAATATTATCATATCATTTAAATCAAATATATGTAGATTATCATATCAATATTTAGTACTGTACAACAGGAGGGAAAATATCTTATTGAAAGTTTGACTCTATTGTCTATGGCCTTCTGGATCTGAGCAAGAACTTAGAACAGAGCTTAGATAGTTGTTATCTGCTCCTAGCCATCTTGCTCTGAGTTAAATATCTGCAATGAGCTTAACAAGTCTTAAGAGTCTATTGTCTATGACTTTCTGGATCTGAGCAAGAACTTAAAAAAGACCATAGCCAGTTGTTACCTGCTTCTAGCCATTTTGCTCTGAGGAAAATATCTGCATTGAGAGCTTAGAAAGTATTAGAGTCTGTTTTCTGCTCCTGGCCTTCTAGATCTGAGAAAGACCTCAGAACAGACTTCAGTGAGTTGTTACCTGCTCTTAGCCATCATGCTCTGAACAGAGCTTATCGAGTATTAAACTCTATTATCTGCTCGGTGCCTTCTGGATCTGAGACAATATCTACAGCACCGACCTTAGCAAGTAATCGACTCTGTTATCTGCCTGGAGCCTTCTTGATCTGAGAAAAATATCAACAGAACTTAGCGAGTTGTTACCTACTCCTAAACTTCTTCCTCTGAGAAAAATATCTACAGAGCTTAGCAAGTAATCGACTCTGTTATCTGCCTGGGGCCTTCTGGATCTGAGAAAAATATCAACAGAGCTTAGCGAGTTGTTACCTGCTCCTAAACTTCTTCCTCTGAGAAAAATATCTACAAGTATTAGACTCTGTTATCTGCTCCTGGACATCTGGATCTGTTCCTGGTCTTTTGGATCTGAGACCAGAGAGATAGTGACATGGACTAAGTAATGAGGGAACAAGATATCCAAATGATATATTTTATGATTTTATAAGTTTGAGTGAAGGTGTGATTGTTCTGGTCTGTTCTACATCATTTAAACCTAGTTTGCCTTTTATTATTAACCAGCACAAAAGATCTCATGAATATTGATCTACCTGTGGATTCATTTTAACAGAAAAAGTTTCGTGTTTTTCATTGTAAGAGGATTTTCTTTTGTTTGTCAGATTGGAACGTATTTTGTATCACCAGATATGTCTCTATAGAAACCAACACAAGCATTCCTCAAACTGTATCTGCAAAAAAAAAAGGACTTAACTAAGCTAACGGCAGAGGTTGAGATGTTCCTAACGCGTTTTGTTCTGGTTATGTCTTATAATTAGTCTATTTTGATCAAATTTGTCTAAATTAGTTGGATAGAAACCTGTAGTTTGTCTAAAATTGTTTAAAATTGTGTCAATTTTGTTTAAAATTGTGTCAGTTTTGTTTATAATTGTGTCAAAAATTGTGTCAATTTTGTTTATAATTGGTCAATTTTGTTTATAATTGGTCAATTTTGTTTAAAATGTGTCAGTTATGTTTAAAATTGTGTCTATTTCATCTAAAATTGTGTCAAATTTATCTAAAATAGTGTTTGATTTCCAGCGACTATATTATTTTTAGATATAGTATTTGAACCGGTTATTTTGATTGTGTCAACTATATTGTGTGTCGTGTTCACGTAGCTATTTTTGTTGTGCCAAGGAAAAGTAGAAATTATTAACTTTTAAACACAATAATTCCATGAGTTTGTCATCTACTGGTAAAAGCAGTTATCGAGTTAACATAAACCTCAAATCATAGAAAAGACGAGACTTGCTAGCAAAACAAAGCATTCAACAAATACATTGCCTATCTCAATGTTTGAACAAATGTTCATTTGGGCTTATTAGAATATTGTGATTCTCATTTTTACATCATTGAGATTTTGTAATAAAATTAACATATTTTTGGGGCAGCTTATTTCACCCTACAATCAACAATGATATTAAGGTTAAAGGTCACCGGAAAAGCTTCAATTATTTTTTAAGATAATGCAAGTAATTATGTCAACATATCATTTCCATAAGTATAACACAAACCCGAATGTCAATATTACCTGCAACTGGCAAATTTCAACGTTAGTAATTTACACCGTTCTCCGTGGGTATTCATAACTTTCCGTCAATAAACAATCCATGACGTCATTTTAGTCCTTTTGCTCAGAAATATAGACTAGAATAGCAGAAGGACAGAAAGTTATTAATGTCTATTAACGGAAAGTTACGACTACCCACGGAGAACAGCATAAATTACTAATGTTGAAATTTACCTGTTGCAGGTAATATTGACATTCTGGTTCGTGTTATACTTATGGAAAGGATATGTTAACATAATTACTTGCATTATTTAAAAGAAAATATGAAGCTTTTCCGTTGACCTTTAATCTGTTTTCCCAGAAATAGTTTTATAAATTCAAATTAATCAGTTGAGGCTGCTGCTTGTCGAGATCTTTTTTCCATGCTAAAATGATTATTTAACATTTATTTAAGAAAACAAAACAAAAAAAATCAGTAGTAGATAATTAATTTCCTGTCTTGGATTCGATTGGATTTAAAAGCAGCCCATCAAAAGGCATCCTTAGTATCAAATAACGATAAGTCGCTTTCCACGCAGTCTGATTAAAACACATCCTATTTTGTTTTACTTGTCTTTACTACACTACGATCTGGAAGAGTTCTAATACAACCCACGTTCTGGATGATATGAGGGATTAGCCAATGAAAAAGTCTGTTACGTCGATTCTTTTGCGTGAGGTGCACAGAACTTTGGGTAAACCACTAAAAACGTCAACGCTGATTGATTAATCATTATCTGACCTCATTAGCTCAAAAGCCGCTGGTATGACACCTGTAGTGTAGGCCATCGAAAGTATAAAAAAAATGAAACGATGAAATATAGATCTATGTTTTAATCAGATTGATTTCTACAGTTTTAAATTTGTAAATGGATGTATTTGTAGATAATGTATAGATAGAGTATCATTTAAAGTTACATTATGTAAAAGCTAAATCTGCCTATTGCAGGGGCCTGTTTCACAAAATTTTGGCTAAGATAAAATCCAAATTTTAGTAACTTGATTGGATAATATAAGATTGATTTTAGTGCTTAGCCAATCAAAACTGAAGTATCTACTAAAATTTAGATTTTATCTTTAGTTAAGATTCCGAGAAACGGGGCCCTGGTCTTTATTTCGGCTTCAACTGTTCTATAAATTATGAAAAGTCGATAATCAACATGCTAGACCATCGGATGGCTGAGATCTAAATGGATTAACACACCTGCTAGATTTAAAAATTTAAATATGAAATTGATAATCAAGACTTAGCCTCAATTGTCAAGTATCGTTGCTACGATAATAAACAATCTAAGCAACATCTTCAAACACTCATAACTTGGCTCAGAAAATTTTTTACAGAAATTTTCAATATATTCATTTTTTATTATCTAATTTTGAACTATTATATTCAATATCTCAGCCGTCCAATGGTCTAGAGAGTTGATTGTGAGCTTATCATGTTAACAAATATCTAAATAATAATTTATAAAACATTTGCGCCCCAAAAAGATCCGCAATAGGCAGATTTAGCTCTTACATTATACATCTTTAATATATTTGTTGAATTTCTCCTCTACTTAGAATTAGGCCACATTAATTTGATTCTCTGTTCTTCCTGATTTTGATACCAGTAAATAGCTCTTTGAGCCATGTGAACGATGTTTTGTTTAAAATTTCAAAACTTACAAATTAAAAAGTAAAAGCTTTTGAACAGTGCAACCATGTACCTTAGGTTTGTAAATTGGCCAGTTTTTCAATTTAGGCAACACCAATTTAATTTTCTGTTCTTCAGGATCTAGATAACTATATAACCTCTTGAATCACATGAAAGATGTTTTGTTTATAATTAGGAACTACAGTAAAAGCTTTCGGACAGCACAACCAAGTACTTTTGGTTTTTAAATTAGTCTCTTTCCTGCAGAAATAGAAAGGAAAATTTTTAGAAATCAAGTTGGTGTGGCCTTAGTGTTATTTGTTTTGATAGGTCTGTGATATTAAAATAACCATGTTTTAACCTCTTTATTTCACAATCAACTCTAGTTAATCATTAAATTAATTTACATAATAACTATAGTTAATCATTAAATTAATTTAAATAATAACTCTAGTTAATCATTAAATTAATTTAAATAATAACTCTAGTTAATCATTAAATTCATTTAAATAATAATAGATAAGTCTACATGTAACTTTATTTCACAATCAACTCTAGTTAATCATTAAATTCATTTAAATAATAATAGACAAGTCTACATGTAACTTTTATTATCAGCTTTGTATAAAGACTGTTTCAATCATTGCTTCATCTTCATAACGACAAGTATGAATAGCACTGCTGGGTTTTACACTTGGATATCAGTACTTGGGGCTCATTGTGGAACACGATTCCCCGGTTGTATATCACAAGGAGTAGGGTCACCTGTCCAACCTTGTGGGATTTCTCCAGATCCTCCGGTTTCCTCCAACTGCTAAAGACTCCTACGCGCAAGCGAATTATGGAAATAAATTGAACCATGTGTTAGTCCCGAAATGACCTAGTTTGTGTCGAGTGGACGTTAAACCCCATTTCTCTCTCTCTCTATCTCACAGTCAATGAAGCACTATTCACATTTGATGCTATGAAGATGTCATTGCTATAGTATACCTACTAAATTATGATATAAACTTCAAAATACATTAGTTTTACATTGTTAATATAATAAATGTGGAATGTGCAATTATAGATATAACTTATGTACGATTTATAATTATTGAAAATTTAATATTTCATTATGGGTTTAATCATTATGCAATTTTATTGTGAACAATTTTTATGTTATTAACCGTTTCTTGTTGCGAAATCCTTTTTAAATGATAAATGTGTCAAGCTTTAATTCGATTATTTAATTATGATACTCATGTTAAAAATTTATCCCTTTAGCACTTGGTTTCGAAGGCGCCTTCCTCGGTATTCCCATTGATCTCATTCCATTCTGCTCCACTATACCCTTCACCATTTTTACGGTAAATCATTAAATGGCTGAACCATTCTAATTCAGTTAAAATCGGACTCATCCGATTCCATCGAGAGTTGATTATGGTCTTGTCATGTTAATAAATGTCTAATTAATAGTTTATATAATATTTAAGGCCTAAAGAAAGACCTACAATATGAAGATTTAGGTCTTGAATAATGCCTTTTTAAAACATGCACTAGAGTTTCAGGTGTTCCAAGTGCTATAGGTTTAAATTAATGTTGGTCGTTGATGCATTTACAGTATTTATGTTCTGTACATATTCAGCTTTTTTTTAGTTGAAAAAAATATTCCTGGAGATTTGATCTAAATGATCTTGTGTTTAACATAGAAATTAAAGGCTTGATGTATCATTTACATTTACACTAAAATATCAAATTTAAATCCTGGCTAAATATGTACTCAGATTGATTATCTAACATTTAATTAAATTTAAGAAGCAAAATCCAAACCCAAACGCAAGATAACCTACCAGCTTGGATTCATTCAGATTTAAACTAGGTTTCAGGGCTTGGATTGCCGAATGGTTAGCATGTGCGCATTGTATCATAAGATTTGTCTTTGAGTCAGCTGGTGTGATTTCGATTCCTCGGTTGTATGTGACAAGGAGTAGGGTGGCCTGTCCAACCTTGTTGGTTTTCTCCAGGTCCTCTGGTTTCCTCCCACTGCTAAAGACCCCTACCTGCAAGCGAATTATTGAAATAAAATTGAACCATGTTAACCCCAAAATGACCTAGTTTGTGTCGAGTGGATGTTAAACCCAATTTCTCACTCTCTTAAAATAGGTTTCTCTTCTACCAGTAAAATATAGTGGCATCTTGTTATATCAAGTAGCATATAGATCAATGAAATTTCAATTTATCATATCTTCTTAAATACTGAATGGAATTGAGCCAGTTTTGTATTAATATTCCTATTAAAGATTAAACTTTCCTATAGGGCTAAATGATGCATCAAGCCTTTAAGTGTTTTAACAATTACCATAGAGAATTGACACTGTAGGAGTGAATGGAGAGGGGTTCACTAGTCCATGGGTGCACTAGTCCATCGCTATATGAAATACTATAAATCTGGGTATCAAAACCCCTAACACTAACCCTGACCCTAACCCTAATAATAGATATCGATGGACTAATGAACCCCAGGATAGTGTACCTTAACCCTAACCCAACCCCTAATAATAGATATCGGTGGACTAATGAACCTGCGGACTAGTGAACATTCCCCAGTGAATGAATGAATACATTAATGAATGCATAGTTTGAAATTTGAGTCACAATAATGATATTAAGGAATAATTGTTTTAATTTATTGTTGTTATATGTTTATATATATATATATATATATATATATATATATAGGTGGGGTTTGCATATAATCATGGTGTTATATTTTATGTGTTGATTTCATAGTAAACTGTATTTTGTGGCTAGAAAAATTTATATTATGATTATCTATTGCTAGATTATTAACACTAACACCTGTGGGAGGCAGGGTAGGGTGGCCGAATGGTTAAACGTGTGCGCATTAGATCATAAGGTCTATCTTTTTTTGTTTCAAATTAACAATGCGAAACAAGAAAACAAGTACTTTTCATTTCTTGGAAATAAGAAGCAAAATTTTAATAGATGTTTGTTTTTTTAAACAATATTTTTATTTAGGGGAATAGGTAGCTGTGGCCGAATGGTAATGTGTGCTGTTAGATCATAAGGTCTGTCATTGAGTCATATGGCGTGGTTTTGATTCCTCGCTTGTATGTAACAAGGAGTTCAGTCACTTGTCAAACCTCTTGGGTTTTCTTGGGTCCTCCGGTTTACTCCCACTGCTAAAGATTCACACGCGCTAGCGAATTATTGAAATAAAATTGAACCATATGTTAGTCCCAAAATAACCTAGTTTGTATTGAGTAAACTTTAAATATCCCGATGAACTTTCTAGTTCATCACAGGGACCAAACATGGGACCTCCTACATTGATATGAAAATCCAGATGAACTTTCTCGGTCATCACAGGGATCGAACATGGGACCTCCAGGTTAGCAAGCCGCTGTGGCTCCCCGAACATTCAAGTACTTTCCCTCTCCTCCTACCACGATCTTAATAGGTTTTAGTAATGATAGTCAGTGATATTATATTCTAGCCACAGTGTGTAATATATGTCATCTATGTAAATATTTTAACATTATATGATGTGTAAATTATTGATTGATTATATGTAATAAATATATTATAATATATACCTCAAACTTTTTTATACATCCACTATTTTATGTGGATGTATTATGCGTCTCCCCATTCACATTTTGTTTGTGGACACCCTAATAGGTCACAATTTTTATTTCATTTTGACGAAACTTCAAATATAGGTGTATATCCCAAAGATCTCGGTTCCTTTCAATATTGGCACATACAGGCTCTGATAGTACGAAAAATCGCCTTTTTAGCTTGTCCATCTCTTGCAAAATGTTGGCTTGTTATTTCATTGCTTCGATACAGTACATCAACTAGGTGGAATACTAAACTATAACACATATTTATGGAAAAACGGGGGGGGTTGGATGGCTGAATGGTTAGCACGTGCGCGCTGTACCATAAAGTCTGTCATTGAGTCAACTGGCATGATTTCGAACCCCCGGGTTGTACGTGACAAGGAGTAGGGTCGCCTGTCCAACCTCGTGGGTTTTCTCCGGGTCCTCCGGTTTCCTCCCACTGCTAAAGACCCCTACGCGCAAGCGAATTATTGAAATTAGGTCATAGCGCAGCTGTCCGTGCAAAATTAGCCCAGTCAGTGCGAAACAGTAGGACGTTAAACCCCATTTCATTCACATTTTTGTTCCGTGGGCTACTTCCCATACCAAATATGTCATACTGTTATTGGAAGTAACTGCTAACTAAACAGCAGATCCTAGGTCCAATCCGGATGTTGGCCGAGAAATTTCCTTAGGATTGTCCAGTCTCGCTCGTTTCCCGTTGTAGATCTGGCAAGGGTAAAACATTGAGTTGTTTGGGTATTGGCAAGGGTAAAACATTGAGTTGTTTGGGTATTGGAGAGAAAACAGAGCTCCACTGGTGTACCCATTGATGTGCATATGTAGAACCTGAAACAGTAGGAATTCGCAATATAAGCTTATCTTCATGGCCATCTTAACAGCATGGGCAGTTGCCTGGGGGATTGACCAGTATTTGAGACCCACGCTAATCTAAGTATGTTGTGACTTGCTATCGCATTATAAATATTGGGTAACAAGTGGGCATAGGTATTCCTGATTTTATAGACTTATTTACATTTTTATTCCTGTGAGCGATTGTGTAGGATGGAGCCCCAGTGCACTGCTTTGCCCGAGTGCCTATAATGCTGTTAAATCGGCCCCGATTAATCTTAATATAATTTCATGCAGAGTAAGTAGGAACACTACAGTCTGGGCAAAATTTCACTGGTACGAGGCAGAAAAAAAGATCCCACAAGCAGAGGTTATCTCCTCCAGGAAGCGTGCGGTGCTTGTTGATAAGAGAGGACACACGTTACCAACTTTAGACTTTAACCTTTTTTCCCACATTTCACTATAAAGTTATTATGGCCTTTGTGAGTTGTTGGTTTTCTTGTGTAGCCTCTATTGCTGTTACAAATTTTTTGGCAAAGTGACTGCAGTGTTCCTACTTACACTGCTTGATGTATGCCTGTCTACAGTAGCAGTCCGGTTGATACAGAAAAGCAAGACGTCAAACCTCATTTGATTTCATGATATTCAAAGATTTTAATTCTCTATACACAAAAACATCACAGAACTTGTTAAATAAATAAGGGCAAATCTTAAATATCTTATTGCCATGTTTCTTTACTTGTCCATTGGTTGTCTATTGTAACCAGGGGAAATCACTTCATCTTTACATTAGTAATACAAATAACGATAGAATTTCATATATATATAGAGCGCATGTTGAACCAGGAACTGAACATGGCATCATTGTCGCCATCTTGGAATTTCAAAAATTCTTTTAAGTGGGGCAAAACTGACAGCGCTATTTAAACCCCAAAACTTTATATAATTTCACTGTTTGATTGGATATTCCCGTGAAATGGATGCCCCACCGCCTTCTGTACATCACTGTATGATAGGATATTCCTGTGAAATGGATGCCCCAGCCCACTGAGGTCACAATGAATGATAACGATGTGAATTATTAGATGATTAATGAGACTGGATGCTCTGTATCTTGAGTGAACTTTCTTGAGTAATCAAACTTTGAGATGCTGCCAATAATTCTCTGCACCTAGAAAATATCAAGATGAAATATTTAAATATTGGGTAAAGGGAGAGAGAGAAAGAGGGAGAGAGAGAGAAATGTGGTTTACCCCCACTTGACAAACTAGGTCATATCGGGACTAACATATGGTTCAATAATGGTCTTTAGCAGTGGGAGAAAACCCGAGGACCTGGAGAAAACCCACAAGGTCGGATAGGTGACTCTACTCCTTGTCACGTACAAGTGTGGAATCAAAACCATGCCACTTGACTCAATGACAGACCTTTTTATCTCAAATGTTGCAGTTGACACAAATTAAAATCATCTGCTTTTTTGTGGTCATATTTAATGCTGAATTTATTGTTTGATTTTTGAGTCATTATCCAAATATTTGAATGAGCTATACTAATCTGATTAAAATACAGATCTATATTTCGTTTCGTTTTTTATACTTTCGATGGCCTCCACTACATGAAGATCTGACCGGTTGTAGTGGAAGGTTGCTTCAGAGGTCACACAGGCAGCTTTTAACCCTATGACGTCAGATATTGATTAATCAACCAGCGTTGACGTTTCTAGTGGTTTACCCACAGCTCTGTGCATCAAACGCCAAGAACTCACCGTAAGATACCGTTTCATTGGGTAATCCCTTACATTAACCTGAACACAGGTTACATAACAACTCTTCCCGATCCAAGTGAAGTAAAGACAAGTTAAATGAAATAGGATCTGTGTTTGAATCAGATTCCGTGGAAAGCAGCTTATATAACAACTCTTCTAGATCCTAGTGTTGTGAAGACAAGTAAAACGAAATTTTGAACTATAAAAAACTTACTTTTTAAGCTCTGAACATTCAGAATCTACAACTTTTTCTGTTGTTTGTAAAGCTGTAGAAAATTGAGATGTTTTTGGAGTTTGTTGTCGAACCATCATACTAATCTGTCCTAATAAATTCTCACTTTCTTGTAGACTGTTTTCTAGCGACGCTGTTTGGAGAAATATAAATACTACTGATAAAACTTAGGGATTTTTGAATACCTTACAAACTAAAATATCTTGTGAATGTTGAACCTCAAAAGGGAAAATCTTTTTCATAATTATACCGAAACACATCCCTTTCAAATATACCAGCCTTTGTTAGCCACTGTTTGACTGGTCGAATAAAAGCGAAATTATAGAATGAATCAAGAATGTCAAGAATCCAGATTTTTCTGACCTGTGAAAGTGCGTTATGTCTTCCGAGAACGAGAACGACTTCACCTTGATCTCGTTCTCTTCTCAAAGCGCATCTGAATCTCTTTAGTAACACATATCATTTGAGGAAACCAAAGGAACTGCAGAAAACCCACGAGGTTAGGCAGGCGAGCCTACTCTTATAATGTTCAATGTTGGGATCGATATCAAAACCATGCCACTTCACTCAATCACAGACCTTATGATCTAAAGTGCATGCCATAGATCACTCCACCACCCAATCCTAAAAGATCAGAGAGAGAGAGAGAAATTGGGTTTAACATCCACTCAACACAGACTAGGTCATTTCAGGACTAACATAAGGTTCAATTTTATTTCAACAATTCGCGTGTCCATCGAGGTCTTTAGCAGTGGGAGGAAACCGGAGGACCAGGAGAAAACCCACGAGGTTGAACTGGTGACCCTACTCCTCGTCACGCCTCAAAGATCATAATAATTATTTAATTACATACCTTGAAAAGTATCTTCATCATCTGGTATATAAATACCTTTAGTTGATATCTGATGTCTTGTTGTATCTAAACTCGCTGCTAATTCATGATATTCATTACTTATAACGGGTAGATTATTTATAACTGGTTCTAATCCACTATTCTATAAAATAAACAATACTTAAATATAATTCCCACTTATCTATAAAATAAACATTACTTAATTAAATATAATTCCCACATTTCTATAAAATAAACATTACTTAATTAAATATAATTCCCACATTTCTATAAAATAAACATTAACTTAATTAAATATAATTCCCACATTTCTATAAAATAAACATTACTTAATTAAATATAATTCCCACATTTCTATAAAATAAACATTACTTAATTAAATATAATTCCTACTTTTCTATAAAATAAACATTACTTAAATATAATTCCTACTTTTCCACGGCACAAACTAGGTCATTTCGGGACTAACATATGGTTCAATTTTATTTCAATAATTCGCTTGCATGTAGGGGTCTTTAGCAGTGGGAGGAAACCAGTGAACCCAAAGAAAACCCACAAGGTTGGATAGGCGACCCTACTCCTTGTCATGTACAACCGAGGAATCAAAATAACGCCAGTGGACTCAATGACAGACCTTATGATACGCCGTGCACGCGCTAACCATTCGGTCATGCACCCCCCCCCCCCCCCCACAAGAGAGAGAGAATTGGGCTTTAATATCCACTTGACCCAAACTAGATCATTTCATGACTAACATATAGTTCCATTTTATTTCAAAAATTCACTGTGAAAGGAAGCCAGACAATCTGGAGGACAAGATTGGGCAGGTAAGACATCTCCTTGTCACATACAAGTGTGGACTTGAAACCACATCACTTGACTCAATGACATACCCTATGATCTAAAGCACATGTGTTAGACCATTCAGCCAGCCCCCTCCAAGTCAGATATTACCAGGGATACTGAAGATGCTCCTATACCTGTAGTTCAAGCTGATCATCCAGCTCATTTAGATGTTTTAATCGAACTAATTCTAACTTTAAGCTGGCTTCTTTCTCATGTAAAGCTTCAACTTCTTCCCATAACATATTTAACTGACCCTACAAAAAAAAATAAAAACGTATCTAAATGAAACGAAATGAAATGGGGTTTAACGTCCTACTGTTCTTCTCTGAACTGGGCTAATGTAGACGGGCATACGTCATACAGTGTGCTATGAGGGATTTTTTGCCCGGACAGCCTCACTACGGCCTACTCAAGGGACCTTTTCCGTCCAATCCAAAAAACTAGACAGTTGTACTTGTCAGGCCCTCCGTCCTGCACCACTGACAAGGGGAAACCACGTCTAAATAAAATACAAATCAAAAACACATCAATGAATAAAGAGCATCTGTAACATGGATCAGGCATCTTCCTCTGTCATATTCAAACACGCCACTTGACTCAACGACATACCTTGTTATTTCACGCAAACACGTTAACCACTAGATCATCCAACCCTTGACGAAATGGCAGGTTCCAGAAGTACATTGTTCCAGACAAACCCTGTATTTGTGTCTGATAATGTCTTTGCCAGCTGCCCTATGTCCGGACTGGATTCAGAATAGTTTTTGTACAATATATGTTGAACAAGAGCATCGCTAACGCAGCAATATACGTCCACATTCCTGTTTTGTTTGATATGGTCCAGTTTGCATTGAGGGTCTGTGAAATAAAACTGGGTTGTAGGACTGCTATCAGTTTAACGTTTCGTTCACATTAACAGAACACAATTTTTATTTTAAAACAATCGATGTCTTTATTCTAAAAGCATGACGTTTAGAATAGGTATCCCCATTTCAAAAGGATCGGTTAAGAATTGCGGCCTGTAGGCAAAACACAAGACACACAAACATTAGGCGTGACTCTGTCCCAAGGGGTTGAGCATGCACCAAAAATAATAATAGAGGCCAGCCTTAGGATTAAGGAATAAGTGTAAAAACGTAGCCTTAGGCTATAAGGAATAAGTCTAAAAAAAATTTCAAGATGATCGATTAAGAAATGCGGTCTGCAAGTGACACACAGACATAAAAAAAGAAAATGGGCGTAGCTCTGCCCCTGGGGGTTGGGTATTCACCACAACTAATAGGGATGTTCCTTAGGATAGAAGGAATATGTATGCTAAGTTTCAAGGTGATACGATAAGAAATGCGATCTGTAGATGACAAACAAATAAATAAATATAAGGGATGGGCGTGGCTCTACCCCTGGTGGTCGGGCATGCACCAAAAACAATAGGGATCATACTTAGGGTATAAGCAATTCATATGAAAAATTTTCAAGACGATTGATTAAGAATTGTGGCCTGTAGGTGACACACAGACATAAAAAGAAAAGAAAATGGGCGTGGCTCTGCCCCTGGGGGTAAAAAAACAATAGGGGTCATCGTTAGGGTATAAGCAATTCATATGAAAAAATTTCAAGACAATTGATTAAGAATTGTGGTCTGTAGGCGACACACACACATAGAAAAAGAAAATGGGCGTGGCTTTGCCCCTGGGGGGTGGGCATGCACCCAAAACGATAGGGATGTTCCTGAGGGTACAAAGAATAAGTATGCAAAGTTTCAAGATGATACGTTAAGAAATGCGGCCTGTAGACGACAAACAAACAAATACAAAAATGGGCGTGGCTCTGCCCCGGGGAGGCGAGCATGCACTAAAAACAATAGGGATCATCCTTAGGGTATAAGGAATAAATATGTAAAGTTGATACGTTAAGAAATGCGGTCTGTAGATGACAAACAAATAAATAAATATAAGGAATGGGCGTGGCTCTGCCCCTGGGGGTCGGGCATGCACCAAAAACAATAGGGATCTTCCTTGGGGTATAAGGAATAAGTATACCAAGTTTGAAGAAAATCCAGTAAGAATTGCGCCCTGTAGGCGACACAAAGACACACGAAAAGAAAATGGGAAATGGGCGTGGCTCTGCCCCTGGGGGTTGGGCATGTACCCCAAACGATAGGGATGTTCCTTAGGGTACAAAGAATGTGTATGCAAGATTATAAGTTAAGAAATGTGGCCTGTAGACGACAAACAAACAAATACTAGAAATGGGCGTGGCTCTGCCCCTGGGGGTCGGGCATGCACCAAAAACAATAGGGATCTTCCTTGGGGTATAAGGAATAAGTATACCAAGTTTGAAGAAAATCCAGTAAGAATTGCGCCCTGTAGGCGACACAAAGACACACGAAAAGAAAATGGGCGTGGCTCTGCCCCTGGGGGTTGGGCATGCACCCCAAACGATAGGGATGTTCCTTGGGGTACAAAGAATGTGTATGCAAAGTTTCAAGATTATTAGTTAAGAAATGTGGCCTGTAGACGACAAACAAACAAATACTAGAAATGGGCGTGGCTCTGCCCCGGGGGGTCGGGCATGCACCAAAAACAATAGGGATCTTCCTTGGGGTATAAGGAATAAGTATACCAAGTTTGAAGAAAATCCATGAAGAATTGCGCCCTGTAGGCGAACCACAGACACACACACACACACACACACACACACACACACACAGACAGGGGCGACGGCATAATACGTTCACATTATGAATGTGGACGTATAATAAATGTATCACGATTCACTTTCTCATGATTCACATATTGAATCACAAGGCTCTGAATCGATGTTATGATGATTCTTTTTTTATGATTTTTTTGTCACTTCAATAAATAACCTGTCACTCTTAATTATTCACGTCACATGTTATCCATAGGAATACAAACACTCTTAAATTGTTTTGACCGTAATTTCAACCTACATCAATTGTGACAAAGTACTCTATAACTTTCATCAAATTGAATGATCATTTAGGTGCATAGAACTTAATGACCTAAGCTGATTTTGATAATATATGATATTGATGTTTCAACTCTGTATATACTTCTGTTAAGGCACGAACTGGCTATGATCTAATTAAACATGTAATTAATCCCATATGCCATTTACAAACTACATAATATGATCTGTGTACTAGCTCCACATGACTTCAAAGGAATATGCACTGGTCAGTAAGCATACCATGACGAGATAAAAGAGACAATTGCAAGAATGATCATAATTCTTATCTATTGTCTGAGGGGATATAACAAGAAGGAGTTTGCTGACAGTAAGACAAACGATCGGAGAGGGTGAGAGACGAGCAGAGAGATGGAGAGACCGGCGTTTGGACTCGCCCAAGTTCCGCCACTACCTTGGCAGAGGGGCGGAATGGTGGATATAATATAGTTATGTACCGTCCTGATGTGTTCCTGTTGTAGTCTAGTTCCTGTATATTAGTTAAGTTCCTGTACTGTCGTATGTATGTAACTGTAGCCGATTTATATACCTGATGTAAATAAATCATATATTTACTAAACTGATATCTGTTATCACTAAGATAGTGTTACACAATATCGGGTTATAAAACAGCTTGTTCCTGACAATGTCTTTAACAGGTGCCCTTGGTTCAGACATTACCTGATGTACTGTTCTTACCATGGCAGCCTTTTCTTGTTCTTTAAACACAGTTTTAGCTCTAGAATCTAGATATAACCACTGTAGATATCGTGACCATATAACATCTAATCTCTGTTGACTCATCTTTATATCCTGTTTCTATAAATAACATAATTAATTCAATTATATACAGCTAGATCTAATTCAAAAGGCCAACTCAAGATTTCGTCAAGGTTGCTGAGATATAGGGCACGTGGGCGAGATAGTAGGTTAGGTTAAGGGTAAGCGTTAGGGCTAGGTCCAGGGTTAGGGTTAGCGGTAGCCCTGTTTACATCTAGTTTTAATGAGATTGCTTACCTTGGGTCTTTTCTTCTGTTGTATTATACTTGAAGTATTGTATTTCTTGGAATGATATAAAGTGCTCAGATCTATAAAACAATCATTTTAAACAATTTTCATCCTGTTAGTCAATATACAAATCTCATATTATCAGAAAAATACATGATTGGTAACTATGGCAACTGTTCTGACTCGTAAAAGTTTAAATCTTTACACTGAAAAAAGTACATTTATGACGAAATTTATCTTTATGAACCTGCTGTAAACTGTATTTATGAAGACAACCTGTGAAAAAATGAAATGAAATGAAATGGGGTTTAACCTCCTATTGTTCTGCTCCGATTGGGCTAATGAAGACAGACACAAGCCATGCGGTGTGATACAAGGGAAATTATGTTCGGACAACAGTGCTACGGCCTACTCTTATATCAAATTCCAACTGCCAAGGGCTTTTTTACAGGCACCCCAATGTGTACATGGGACCTCGTTTTTTTGTCCCATCTATACGTCATCCCTTGCCAGGCAGTCTATCCTGCACTACTGACAAAGGCCAATCATGCGGGAAAATCCTGATGAACTTTCTCTGTCAACACAGGGATCGAACATTGAACCTCCAGGTTAGCAAGCCAATGTCTTACCCACTAAACCACAGGGTTAGCGAGCCGTCTTTTATAAACCTACCTGCCGATATTTTTTAATGTAAAAGTGCCAATCAAAGAAGGTGTATTTATGTCTTGATAAAAATTACCTGCTGATATTTTATAATGTAAAAGTGTATTTATGTATGTATAAAAACAAATTGCCAATATTGTATGATATAAAAGTGTATTTAGGTATGTATAAAATCTACCTGCTGATATTGCCGATATTTCTGCTGGTATAGCCGATGTATCCATATCTTGTGTTGTATTAGGTAACGCTTCACTAGAACATGGTGTCGACGTCTTCCCACCAGCAGGTTTACTGGGCATGCTCGGTGTAGCTGGCTTATGAGATCTACCGGGTGTTGCTGGTTTATGTGATGGTAAACTTTTATTACTGGCCGAATGTTTAGCACCACTGGATGTCTAAAGAGAGAGAGAAATGGGGTTTAACATCCACTAGACACAAACTAGGTCATTTTGGGACTAACATATGATCCAATTTCAATGATTTGCTTGCGCGTAGAGGTCTTTAGAAGTGGGAGGAAATCCACAAGGTTGGACAGGCGACCATACTCCTTGTCACAAACAACCAGGGAATGGAAACCACGCCAGTTGATCCAATGACAGACCTTATGATGCAGCACACACAAGCTAACCATTTGGCCATCCAACCCTCCTCAAACTCTAAACCATAAATTATACTTTATTTATTACTCTATCCAGTTACTAAATGCCACTTATGGATAACAAATTATCTAGATCTCATTTCTGTAGGGTATATCATACTCTTCACAGAGTTTTGTTTGATTAGACCTTATCCCACTCAAACACTGCTGTAATGAAAGCAAATTTCTGTTCCAAATTATGACTGGTCAATAGTTTGATTAACAACCAATAGCTAACTGCGTAACAAAACAGTTCGGGTTTAAACAGAGCTCCAGATATGTTTACATAACGTTACTTCACGACTCACAAAATTTATTACTTCCATTCAACCAGCTCATAGCAGAATATTGCAGAAAATCTAATTACGTGACAAACAAGGCTATCAAAATGGCTACAATGTAAACAATACTGCTTGGAGACGAACAATACTTTTGCCATTTTTAATACCTTAAATCACTGGCCAAAGTTTAAGGGAAGACCCCAGATTAAACGAAGGGCTGTCAATGTTTCTGTACTTGGGATAGATTTGATTGAACGGGAAGAATAGACACACCCCCTTAAAAGCTCAAGTATCAGAAGTCAATCCAGCTATGATCAGAGAGGGATTTCTCAGGCCATTTCTTCAGGAATATGATTTTGAAAGAAACAGAGTTATCTCCCACTGCAGTAATACTTTAACAGACGGACATTCAGTGGAGCTTGAACACTTATTGGGTACCTGAAGCTTAAATGAGTTGTTAGGGCCCTGGAGCTCAAACTATTATTTGGCCCCTTGAGCTTGAAATGTTATTGGATCCGGTTACTGGGTCCTTGAAGAGAAAAAGAGCTGGGGTTTATCATCCACTTGACACAAACTAGATCATTTCAAGACAAACACGTGGTTCAATTTTATTTCAATCATTGGCTTGCATGTTGTAGGGGTCTTTTGGAAGGAAACTGGGGGATCCTGAGAAAACACACAAGGTTGAACAGACGACCCTACTCCTTGTCACGTACAACCAGGGAATCGAAACCACAAAAGTTGACTCAATAACAGACCTTATGATGCAGCACACAATCAAAATACAAAACTGAAATGAATTAATTTGTAGATAATGATAATTACCTTTTGATTAACTAGAGATGTTGAAGTTTTAGCTGATGCTTGCATGTACCTTGATGGTATAGATATCCCTAAAATACACAAAATCAAATCACATGAGGTTTAACATCTAGCTTTGTAGCAGAAAGTAGGCTAATGAAGACAGGCATACACCATGCAATGAGACTATGAAGACATGCATACACCATGCAAAGAGGGACATTTTGCCTGGACTGGGCATTTTGCCTGCCTACACTACATTGAATTTCAATTGTCAAGGGCTGGCATACGTGCAAACTAAAGTTACATTGTACCTCTTTTTTTTCCATTCGAAGGACTACCCTCTCTTCCTTGCCATGCCCTTCTTTTTTATCGCCCTGACAAGGCGAAGCTCTGCTGGAAAACCCTGAGTATCAAACCAGGGCCTTTCTGAGAAGTGAGCCAGTGTCTTTCTCACTGAAGCACTGTGGCTCCCAAGCTAAAACATGCTAGGCACAATAATCTTTAGTCCCAAAAGGAAACCTGTCGTTTCTAAAAATCAAACAAACCTTTTTTGGCTTTAGTTACTGTACTTGTCTTACTATTTGATTTAGTACCAGGCTTTGTTCTGAAACATTATAAAAGTTAGTAGATAAAAATACAAAAAGGGGGAGGGGCATGGCATCATTTGAAAAAGGGTCATGAGAGAGAGAGAGATGTGGTTTAACGTCCACTAGACACAAACCAGGTCATATTGGGACTAACATATAGTTCAATTTTATTTCAATAATTCTTAGGGGTCTTTAGTAGTGGGGGGAAACTGGAGGACCCAGAGAAAACTCACGAGCTTGGACAGGAGACCCTACGAGCTTGGACAGGAGACCCTACTCATTGTCACATACAACCGGGAAATTGAAACTATGCCAGTTGACTCAATGACAGACCTTATACTAACGATTTACCTATAGGCTTGGCAGGCTGAAGCATAGGGAGAGAGATAGGAATGGGGTTTAACGTCCACTCGACACAAACTAGGTCATTTCGGGACTAACATATGGTTTAATTTTATTTATATAATCCGCTTGCGCGTAGGGGTCTTTAGCAGTGGGAGGAAACCGGAGGACCCGGAGAAAACCCACGAGGTTGGACAGGCTTGGCAGGCTGAAGCATAGGGCCTCAAGATCAGGGGGCTTCCATACAAGGTGTATAATATAATATTAAAACAATTTATTACTTTGATTTAATAATTGGAACATATTCATCAATGGAGCAGGCATCCATATCACTAATAACAGATTGTATATCATCATCATCTTCATCATCTGTTGGCTTTTCACACACAATTTTCTGTTCTGTTGTCAAAGATTCTGCCGAATCGTTGAAGTTAGGTTGTGGGTAACTTGTCTTAGTATCTTTCACCTTTTTCTTAGTTAATGGTGAAGCTCTGTGTCTGCTATTAGATCGTGGACCATCTGAAATATATTTAAACATGTTTCAATACAATCCTTGAGTGCCATTAGCGACTGAGCACATTAAAAAAAAAACAGCATAGTGCTTGATAACTATAAGAGAATACTTGTGGAAACTTTGTGGTATATTTGTATAAACCAGTGATTGTTTTCCATATAAATTATGTTGTTTTTTTATGTTTTAATGTTTAATGATATTATAATTAATGCTGTTAGCTTTATTGATGGTCAGATGGAACAATTCCATAATCCACAAAATTGCAAATTAAACATACATTATGCAATAGGTAAATCTGCCTACTGCAGGTCTTTCTTTAGGCTTAAAATTAAAATGTTATATAAACTATTAATTAAGACATTTATTAACAAAACAAGACCATAATCATCTCTCGGTGCCATGACAGCGATAACAATGACAATCGAGGCAACAGTGATTTTAAATTAAGGTTTTCTAGGCTTAGAGTGAAGCAATTTGACTGAAATTTTCAGCATATTCCATTTACATCATCTAGTAAATGTACTACATGGTACATATGTATAAAATTGTGTAGCTTATGTATAAGAGAGAGAGAGAGAGAGAGAGAGAGAGAGAAAGAGATCCATTTGACACAAACTAGGTCATTTCGGGATAAACATATTATTCAAATTTATTTCAATAATTCACCTGCGCGTAGGGGTCTTTAGTAGTGGGAGGAAACTGGAGGACCCAGAGAAAACCCATGAGGTTGTACAGGCGACCCTACTCCTTGTTCACATACAACCACGCCAGTTGACTCAATGACAGATCTTACGAGAAAATATGCACGCACTAACCATTCAACCATCCAACACCACACTTATTCAAAGATAACTGTAACTAAAGACAAATTCAATATCCGGCCAAGATAGTAAAATTAACTATCGGGTTCTTCTCTAATTATTACCTGTTCTAATTGTCTTTCTTCCTTTCACTAAAGGTGAAATGGCCTGTGTTGGCTGAAAATTACTTTTCGAAGGTTGATCTGTTTTTTTGTTTTGTTTATCACTAAAATTAAAATAATTATTTTAGGAAGAGAAAGCAGAATTTTAATAGGGTTTCCTGAAAAACAAAATCCAACTTGGTGTGGCCTAATACAAGCTCTTTTAACTCAATAATATGGAAAATATGATACACATTGCGATTCTGTGGCTACGATACCATTCGTATCATGATTCATAACCAGTTCAATATTTACCAAGACAATACAAGATAAATGTATAATTGATATTTTTAGTCCTGTCGATGTCGTAGAAATTAAACTGTTTTATATCAAGATATTGATGTGGATCAAAATAAGGATAAAAACAATTAAAGAGTGTTTTTTTTTATGTGTGACGTGGATAATTATGAGTAACAGGTTACTTACTGAAGCATAAAAAACTCATTGATTCAGTGATATATTGTGTACATGGCATCTTTTGAATTTTCAACAATATTACCGGATGACCCTATTTGTATGACACACTACACATACTACAGACTCTATACTACACAAACTAACCTGATGACCCTATCTGTATGATATATTAAACAAACTTACCTGACTCTATGACATACTACACAAACTTACCTGACTCTATCTGTATGACAAACTTACCTGAGCCTATCTGTATGACATACTACACAAACTTACCTAACCTTATCTGTATGACATACTACACAAACTTACCTGATGACCCCATCTATATGACATACTAAACAAGAGAGAGAGATGGGGGGGGGGGTAATGTCCACTCGACACAAACTAGGTCATTTCGGGACTAACACACGGTTTAATTTTATTTCAACAATTCGCTTGCGCATAGGGGTCTTTAGCAGTGGGAGGAAACCGGAGGACCCGGAGAAAACCCACGAGGTTGGACAGGCGACCCTACTCCTTGTCACGTACAACCGGGGATTCGAAACCACGCCAGTCAACTCAATGACAGACTTTATGATACAGCGCGCGCACGCTAACCATTCAGCCATCCAACACCCCTCATACTACACAAACTACGGACTCTATACTACACAAACATACCTGACCCTATCTGTATGACATACTACATGAACTTACCTGACCCTGTATGACATACTACATGAACTTACCTGACCCTGTATGACATACTACATGAACTTACCTGACCCTGTATGACATACTACACGAACTTACCTAACTGTATGACATACTACACAATCTTACCTGAATACCTGTATGATATACTACACAAACTTACCTGACACTAGCTGTATGACGTACTACATGAACTTACCTGACTGCATGAAATACTACATGAACTTACCTGACTATATGAAATACTACACAAACTTACCTAACCCTATCTGTACGACATACTACACAAACTTACCTGACATAATACACAAACTTACCTAACCTTTTCTGTATGACATACTACACAAACTCACCTGACTCTAGCTGTATGACGTACTACACGAACAGGTGATTTCTTCATTCCAATTGCAACATGTACTTCTGATTGGTCAGGATTTAATGAAGTTTCTGTTGCATCTACCACAATAACAGACTCATTGGATATCTGAAACATACATGTTATAAATGATAGGCAATGGCGTTCAACATCTCACATTTCTTCTGCACCAGTCAGTCTAAATGAAGACAGGCATACACCAGCCTACATTTCTTTCCATCTCCCACTGTCAGGGACCTACATTTTTCAGGCAATCAAATACTAGATGTCTGTCCTTGTCAGGTCCTTCGTCCTGCACCACAGGAAAAGCAAGATGGAAAATCCATAGGAACTTTCTTATCCAACATCTGGATCAAACCCCCGGACCGTCTTTGTAAGCTAATGCCATACTCACTGAGCAGCTGGCTGCCTACATGTTATAAACAAGTTTAGCGTCTTGTCAACAATTAAACATGCATTATGTAAGAGCCAAATCTTCCTATTTCAGGTCTTTCTTTAGGCCTTAAATGTTATCTAAATTATTAATTAGACATTAAATTAATTAATTAACCTATCCAGACCATAATCAACTCTCGATGGCATCAGATGGGTTCGATTTTCAACAGATTTGAATCTGATCTGCGGTTCAATGTTGGTTGATGATTAACAATAAAAATTGATAATCAAGACTTTGTTTATTATTGTAACAACTGTAGTAATGATGATCAAGGGTAGGCCATAATTATATTACTAATATCTAGGCTCAGAGTGAAGTAATTTTACTGAAATTTTCATCATATTCCCTTTACATTATCTATTTTTTAACTATTATCGTGAAAACTGTCAGCTCCTTATCTAATATTCTATTATGCCGTTTTACCTTAGGTCATTTTTAGGCCAACATGTAAATGCCGACAAAGTACAAAAAAGTCCTAATATTTTTACCTCCTGTGTATTGCTTTCACTTTCTGTGACATCCAAGTCAGATAAATCTAAATTAGATGAAGGATGTGACGATTGTGTGACCAGAATTTCAGGAACATTTCTGTAAAAAAAACAACAAATTAACAGTTTGATTTTAGCTGTAAAATGTTCCTGACATTTTGAATTTTGAACATATCCATAAGAAATACCACTGTACTATGGAAATGAAATGAAATGAAATGAAATGGGGTTTAACATCCTACCGTTCTGCTCTGAACTGGGCTAATGAAGACGGGCATACGCCATACAGTGTGCTATGAGGGCAATTTTATCCGGACAGCGGCACTATGGTCTACTCTTATATCGAATTCCAACTGTCAAGGAATCTTTTATGTGCACGCCGATGTGTACATGGGATATCGGTTTTTCGTCCCATCTGAATGACTAGACAGCTGGACATAAGGCATCTGTCAATAGATATTGTCGGACATATTATAAAAATGTGTGATAATTTGTGTTGGAGAATGTCTGTGACAGGTGCTCTACGTGTATCCAGGACTGTTCAGCTACTTACTTTCTAGGTGTAATAGGTAAACTGTCTTCTGCTGTTTTTCTTGCTGAAAATAATCACAACAAATTTACAAGTTTTACTGTTTTTAATATCTACATGGCAGGTTTTACATGTGCTAAGAATGTTACATTTTACATAATTCTCCCTTCAACTTGTACGCTGAAGTAAAATGTTGATAAGATAACTGCGCGGAATTATTATTCATATAAGTACTTCTCAACAGACATGGGAAAACAGGCAGGGAAATCCTGATGGATTATCCTTCTCAACTCTGATCAGTGATGAGAGAGACAGAGAGAAATGGGGATTAACATCCACTCGACTCAAACTAGATCATTTCGGGACTAACACATGTTTCAACTCTATTTCAATAATTTGCTTGGGCATAGGGGTCTTCAGCAGTGGGAGGAAACCGGGTGACCCGGATAAAACCCACGAGGTTGAACAGACGACCCTTCTTGTCATGTACAACCTGGGAATCAAACCCATGTCAGTTGACTCAATGACAGACCATCCAACCCCCCTCTGATCAGTGAACTAATGCCATACTTACCATGTTGGTGTGTAGAATTGGTTTTCTTTATGTCATTAGAGGTACTGGTATTCGTGTCTGTTACTAATCTTCCTTGAGCTAATGGTTTTCTGTTTAAAATAATAAAATCAATCACTCAAGAACAAAAAGAGCGATTCAGATCTTTGAGAAAATAATAAATTTCTAAATTATTTAGAACAAACCTTAGGTCATGCAACAGTTTTGACAAATTCGGTTTTACTGGAATATCAATTCTAAGATGAAATGAAATGAAATGGGGTTTAACGTCCTACTGTTCTGCTCTGAACTGGTCTAATGAAGAAGGGCATACGCCATACAGTGTGCTATGAGTTAAATTTTGCCCAGACAGCGGCACTACAGCCTACTCTTATAACAAATTCCAACTGACAAGGGATCTTTTATGTGCATGCCAATGTGTACACGGGACCTCTGTTTTTCGTCTCATTTGAATGACTAGACAGCTGTCCTTGTCAGGCCCAATTCTAAGGAGACATAAATATAATATATAATAGACTGATTTATTATTTTGTTCTGATGTTGCCAGGCAACGAAACATACGCCCACAGCAGCTAAATCATCCGGGCAGTCAACAAGAGTTATCACATATTTCTACTTTCTTTCGGTAATGAAAAATTTATAATACACTAAAATCTGATTAAGAGTAACAAGTCATTAAGCAATTGTCAGAAAATCATTAGAATCTGTTTGGTTTTTATAAAGTTCTGCCCCATGCTAACGTTTAGTATACGAAACATTTAATATCATGGATTTAGCTGTTCAAGTTATCAAAATTCATTGAAAATCAATATACTTGTTTGTCTCAAGACCTTAAACTCTGTGTATCAATCTGAAGTCAATCGGATGATAACTTTAGCCTCTAGAGCATCCACAAGATGATCAAGGCCCATAACTCTGACAGTAATTATCGGAAATGGCTGAAAATAAAAATTTTTCTCCAGATTTTAGTTTTGTATGTAAGCCCTAATATTATAATTATAGCTATCATGCATGTTCCTTGAATTAAAATGGCTGTGCTTAAAAACCTGTTTAGTTTTGGTATACAATGTATGTAAGTCATAATATTATAATCATAGCTATCATGTTACTTGAATTAAAATGACTCTGCTTAAAAACCTGTTCTAAGAATTTTCATATTTCCACTTACATGTTTATCATCTTTACCAGGTAAATGTTTATGTTCAGTTGGAAAAAAAAAGTCAATGCTACAGCTGAAGTCATTGCTGAGCCAGATGTCATACATGAGGCAGGGTATGCTGCTTACACTGTATTATGTACAGAACATCTGATGTTGCTTAATAGATTCCAGTGCTTGTTGTAGTTTGCAACAAAAGAGTATCTGTGTACATGACGGCCATGTTTCAATTTATACATTTTTACTTTCACTTTTAATTCTTTGAAAGAAACATAATACTATTAATACAACAATGGAAATAGCTGATTGCAATAATGCAACAACTGATTGGGAAAAACCAAGTTTTAAACACGATATACGTAATCGGTGTATGGAGTAACTTGTTGAAATAAGACTGGACAAATGGGACAACTGATTGGGAAAACCAAGTTTTAAATACGTAATAATTACATAGAATGTGAATCTCAAGATGGTTCTGGATTAAAATATTAATTTGTTAGTGCTAGAACTGAAGATCAACAACAGCACAAGTCAAAATGGTTGAGGTACAAGTAAGTCACTACAACATAATTCTGTGAAACATTTAAAGGCTCAATACCACTCTTGTTGTTACTGAATAATATGTCCCAATCTTTATTCTGGTCAACAAATTGTACTATTTTACAATATTCCAATTAATTGGTGATACAAATTTCATCTTAACACACCTAATTTAAAAAATTGGAAAAATTTAACTAAATGATTTGAAAAGCCTAACGTAAACCTTTTCAAATGTGACTTGGATTTAAAAATATTTTCGAACCCTCTGGACAAGTAAAATAGGATTTAATGAATAATTTACACAATAGGTAGGACACTAACACATCTAGTACTTAGAACAAGGCTATTATTTATTTTCTGGAGCTGTCAAGCCAGCAAGAGTGTTATTGTCCCTTTAAACTGTTCAGAAATGATGGCTGGGTTTGTGTTTATTGCCGTAAAGAGGAGAGAATGGCACTTAAATGCACTCAAGATGTTCATCCTTATGCTGGTGGTGGCTTTATGGCATGGGCAGGGACTTGTGACCAGAAGAGAATAATCTTGTTATCATCCATGACTGGCCAAAGATACTGAGATGAAGTTCTGCAACCTGTGGCAGTGCCATTCGTGCAACAGCAACACCTGGTTACCATTCTGCAGCATGATAATGCCCAACCACATATTGCTAGACTGGTTTGCGATTATTTGAACAATGTTAACATCCACACATTACCTAGGCCAGCATGTTCTCCTGACATAAACCTAATAGAGAACCAGGGGCGGATCCAGAGGGGGGGTTTGGGGGGTCCAAACCCCACCCTGCTCAGCTACATAAAAAAATTGAATGCCTTGCATCAATGAAATTAAATCACAATGTGTTCCTACATGATTACAAAAATGATTTCTCTCTTTAAAAAGCTCAATTTGTATGTATGCCTATGTAATTTAGAGACGATGATGACAGATTTCCTTAACAGGAACCTGGCAAAACCCCCCCCTGCAAAAATTCCTGGATCCGCCCCTGAGAACCTCTGGGATCTTCTTATAGGCAACTAAGGCAACGGCCATATCCTCTCGCAAACCCACATTAGCTTGAGCAAGCTTTATTGCAAGAATGGCAAAGGATTCCCCATGATATCATAAGACGCTATTAATGTTGTGTCTTGTCAAATGATTAAACTGCATATGGACTTATTCAAAGGCTTCACCTTGACTTGTATGCGTAATTGTTTATCTAGACGCCATTAATCTTTAACCCTGGCTTGTAGCCATTACACTACTGTTAATGTTTTGATTTTTGCTCCAGACATCAGAAACTTATTCCTCTCAATAAAATATTCATCGTTTAAATCAAGATAGGTTGCCAGGCAACAAAACATACGCCCACAGCAGCTAAATCGTCCGAGCAGTCGACAAGGGTTGTCACATACTTATTCTTTTGTAGGTAATTAGGGGAATTTAATAGACAATTTCATACAGATGACATTATAATTTTCGTTGTTTGAAGGTTCACAAGGTTCTAAAAACTAAAACAAGGGCCGTAACTCTGGAAGCAATCTACAGAAATTGTTCAAATTCGACAGGCTTTTTTCGTTTTACTAATTCATATAATGCATATAAATTTCATACACATCGGATGATAACTTTTATTGTTCGAAAGTTCACAAAGTTCAACACAGTAAATCAAGGGCCATAACTCTAGATGTAATTGACGGAAATTGCTGACATTCAATAGGCTTGTTCGTCTTCATTTCACTAATTTAGATGATAACTGAAACTCAATATACTTGTTCGTTTTACTAATTTAAATGATACATATAAATTTCATACAGATCGGATAATTACTTTTGTCGTTAGAGCATTTACAAGGTACAACAAAGTGAAACAAGGGCCATAACTCACGGCGTAATTAACGGAAATTGCTGAAATTCAATAGGCTTTTTCATGTCACTAATTTAAATGATGCATATCAATTTCAAACAGATCGGATGATAACTGTTGTCATTAGAGTGTTCACAAGATTCAACAAAGTGAAACAAGGGCCATAACTCTAGATGTAATTAACGGAAATTGCTGAAATTCAATAGGCTTCTTTTTTTTTACTAATTTAAATGATGCATATAAATTTCATATAGATCGGTTGATAACTTTTGTCGTTAGAGCGTTCACAGGGTGCAAAAAAGTGAAACAAGGGCCATAACTCCAGAAGAAATTAACAGAAATAGCTGAAATTCAATTGGCTTCTTCATTTTACTAATTTAAATGATGCATATCAATTTCATACAGATCGAATGATAACTTTTGTCAGAGCGTTCACAAGATTCAACAAAGTGAAACAAGGGCCATAACTCTAGATGTAATTAACGGAAATTGCTGAAATTCAATAGGCTTCTTTGTTTTACTAATTTAAATGATGAATATGAATTTCATACAGATTGGTTGATAACTTTTGTCGTTAGAGCGTTCACAAGGTGCAACAAAGTGAAACAAGGGCCATAAGTCCAGAAGAAATTAACGGAAGTTATTGAAATTAAATAGGCTTCTTCATCTCACTAATGCAAACAACATATATCAATTTCAAAACAATCGGTTGATAAATGTAGTCTGTAGAGTGGTCACAAGAAATTGTGGACGATGGACGGACGGACGGGGGCGATGGCAATATACAACTAATTTCCATGTGGGCGTATAAAAACTGTCTTTGGATTTTTTTATGGAACATTTACAGGGAGTGTAAACTTTCTTTTGCCCAGTAGTTTAAATTTATGATATTGTCATTTCATGCAAATTTTTGTGACAGAATTGTAATTGAATAATAAACTTCTTAAGTTATTTCAAAATTCTTTCCTTTCCAAATTCTAAGTAATTAATTAAATCCATTTGAAATAAATTTATTGTTTTTCATTTTTACAGAAAAGTTTGTACATTGGTTCAACAGAAATCAAAATAACATACAACCTTTTCCAAATTAACAGAATAATTTGTGCTGTTGAAAATACTGAAAACAACGAAACAGGTTTCTATTTTCTAAATTGTACAGATTCGTGGCACGTCGATCAAAACCAGCAACCTCCTAATACAGAGCTCAGAATTACTATATATGGTCTTAGAATAAATGAACCAAAAGTTATTCTAAGTAATACAATTATAATCAACAGTCCATTACATCATATGAGATTAGAAAGTCACAACAAACATGGCCGATTTCCATCCGACAGGTTTACTTTCTTAGTAGCGGTAAGTATAATCCAAGGTTTTTGTTTATTTCACAAATCCAAAATAAGTTATGAAACTATCCATTACAACTTTTAACGACACATTAATATTACCCTCACCAAGAAATTAAATGTAATTAATTATGAGTGATACCTGTATTTATTAAACTCCCTAAAATCAATCAAATTTGTGTACGATAAAAATGATTGCACATGTATCTTAGCAAAGACTTGATAGATTTAACATGCATGATGTAACAGTACAATCATGCATGATGTAACAGTATTACATATTGATTAATAAATACTCCAATAATCATAAAAATAATCATATTGGGCACATCTTCTGGTTTCCTTTTTCTGTAGACGGGCCTGACAAGGACAGCTGTCTAGTCTTTCGGATGAAACGAAAAACCGAGGTCCCGTGTATACATTGGAATGCCCACTTTAAATATTGGCTGAGAAAGTTCATCAAGATTTTCCGGCGTGGTTCCCCCTTGTCAGTGATGCAGGATGGAGGGCCTGACAAGGACAGCTGTTTAGTCTTTCGGATGAGACAAAAAACTGAGGTCCCGTGTATACATTGGAATGCACGTAAAAGATCCCTTGGCAGTTGGAATTCGATATAAGAGTAGGGCGTAGGCGATAGTGCCACTGCCCGGGCAAAATTTCCCTCATAGCACACTGTATGGCGTATGCCCGTCTTCATTAGCCCAGTATAGGATCAGAATAGTAGGACGTTAAACCCCATTTCATTTCATTTAATTTATTTTTCTGTACACAGACTGATGAAGCAAGGGCAATAATTCTGTCAAGCAGGTTAATGATAATAATAATACATGTAGTTTTTTAGATCGCTGAACATTCAGTCAGTATGCATTTCTTACACAAAATATAACATAAATTTAATTTTGATAATTTAATTTAAAAATATTCTGTTTTTAAACATTTCTTGAAAGTTGATATATTTGGGCTATTCTGTACAGTTTTGAGTATTTTATTCCACTCTTTTGGACAAGCTGAAAGGACAATTTTAAGAAGCAATCACAAATGTTTGTATGTCGAAACAATAAACCACTGCAAGTTTCAGTCAAAAACACCTTGCTATTTCCATATCTACAAAAGTTTTGTACCACATTGTTGAGGAAAGGGCAATAATTTGATGTCAATAATCATTGTGATTCTGAAATATTAAATTTGACATATCTTTATGACATAACAATAAAACCATGCAAGTTTCATCCAAATTGGTCAATAACTTCATGTAGTTTTTATCTCCCACAACTGTGAATAGATAGACTGACAGACAAGCTTTGGTGATGAGAATATACACCCACTTTTAAGAGAGAGAGAGAGAGAGAAATGGGGTTTAAAGTCCACTCGACACAAACTAGGTCATTTCGGGACTAACATATGGTTTAATTTTATTTCAATAATTTGCTTGCGCATAGGGGTCTTTAGCAGTGAGAGGAAACCGGAGGACCCGGAGAAAACCCACGAGGTTGGACAGGTGACCCTACTCCTTGTCACGTACAAATGAAATGAAATGAAATGGGGTTTAACGTCCTACTGTTCTGCTCCTAAGCTGGGCTAATGAAGACGGGTATACACCATACAGTGTGCTATGAGGGAAATTTTGCCAGGGCAGAGGCACTATCGCCTACTCTTATATCAAATTCCAACTGCCAAGGGATCCTTTACGTGCATTCCAATGTATACACGGGACCTCGGTTTTTCGTCTCATCCGAAGGACTAAACAGCTGTCCTTGTCAGGTCCTCCGTCCTGCATCACTGACAAGGGGAAACCACGCCGGAAAATCTTGATGAACTTTCCCGGCCAATATTTAAAGTGGGCATATAAGGAAAAATAATTTGTCTTCATAAATACCAATATTATATTTTTCCTACTTTTTGTAGACCAATGGAATGAATTGCAGTGCAGATCAAAGAGTCAATGAAATGACCAATAAATCCAGTATTATATTTAAATGTGAAGATGTACAACTACCAATAAATACGGAATATCATTACATACAGATAATACAGACAACAAGTTCTACTAATGATGTATCAAGCTACAATGAATATATTGAGTTGACAACCACCTATACCAATGAAATACCATGTGTAAATCTACCATCTAGAGAGGCTGTTAATTACAAGATTTACAAAGTATCTCTGTCTGGTAATCAATATTATGTGACTAAAACATCTAAAAAATCACAGTTCATTACTCGTAAGTATAACTTTGTTCCTGGTTAAAATATTGTTTTAATTGTCTTCAAGGTTACATGATAAGGTCAATTACTTTCTCAAATTCATTTTTATCCTGCATCTTCATTACCCCAGTCAGAGTAGAACAGTAGGACATTAAACCCCATTTCATTTCATTTTTATCTTGATACTTTAATCAGAAATAAAAGATGTTAAATTTTCTCCAGAACACTGACGGATAATGGCATGGCCAACAGAGGCAATTGCCTTTTTTATGTTTGTATAAAAAATAATCAAGATCGGTATCCTAAAAATCGTGATTTCAACTCCCTGATGGGCAGCTTGGGCAGTTGATAATATTTATGGGGTGTTCCCACTTAGCCGGCAGGCTTTGATGTCAAATTTTGCCGCTAATCCAGAGTTAATCCTAGAACAATGGTGTTATAAACTATAGTCCATATCTTTTTTAAGACTAAAACTGTATTGATTTTAACAAATTTAACTTTTATTAAATAACATTAAATAGCTTACACATATAAAAATATATTGATTTTAACATATTTAATATTTATTAAATAAACATTAAATGATTTACACATATGAAAATGCATTACAATTTACACATTTAACTTTTATTAAATAGCATAATATAATTTATAAATAAATGCCTTACAACATAACAATCATTTTACAGCCCCACTAAATAGGAAATATTTGTTCCATACCGATTTACACTTAAAGAGCCATTTATTAACTGTGTTTTCAAATGTTCAATTCTTGTATCAAGTTGTCGATATTTCTTAACTCGATGCCTTTTGGTACCACCAAATAATATCTGTGAAATGGTGATTTCGACATTAAGAGCTCATTAACGCTGAACACTAGTGAACAGTTCTTGAGTGACTACTTTTAAACAGACTATAGTTTTAAGATCAATCAAAGGATTAACAGTCTGCCGGCTAAGTGGGAACACACCAATATTTATATGTAAATTTGTTATTACAAGCAGGTATTTGAGGACCCTAGTCTTGTAGCTTGCCCAAGAGTTTATGTTGTTGGGTTCCGGTTTTCACTAAACCCATACCTGCTCGCTCTTACAACCGAGAATTGCAAGCCGCTGTCTTTAAGTGTGATGCCCGCTGCTAGTTTTGTAGGAGTCCAGCCAATTTGAGTATGATTCTGCCATCGAGAGACAACTTTTCAAAGATTTTCATTTTGAAATATGCTGCAAACGTGACAGTTTACAAAACCTCAAATTTAGCACTCACAGTTCTATAACTACACAATGCCTACTGTCTGAGACATCTACATGTACTTTCTAAATGGGAGGTTTTAATTTCATAAAGTGAATATCGCAATATATTCTTCTGTTTTGCCTATTTTTGTCAGCTAATTTGAAAGAAACCCAACTAAATCTAGTCCATACATTAATCTTTCCAGATAATTCAAAATATGATGTTCACCAATTCCATGATATGGCACTGTTATTTATAAGTGGCTCAGGTACCATGAAAATTCCTTACTTATATCGTAACAAACCAAGTTACCATCCTACTATACAAGAAGTTATAAAGACAGGAGTAATGACCAAATATGACAAAGACAACAATGGAGACCAAGCCTCTAGTATTAACCATAATATTAAAGGGTTGTTCTTCAGTGCGTCAATGGACAAAGATACCCGACAGCCACAGACATCAAGCTTTTTTGGTGATTATCGAATCCTGATTCCACCTGAACATCTAATACCAGGACTAAATCTGTATTTTGCAGATTTTTATTGTAATCATAAAGCACATTATGTAACCTTGGTATTAACCAAGCCTGGTAGTGTAGAAGATGTCTACTGTAAAGTTAGACTAATTAAACTTGACATTAATGATAATAAATTCTTGTTTCATGATCAAGGATTTTATTATACAACCTCTGACAGGAAGTTATGGGTAGAAGTATTATATACTGAAGATGTACATGTTGATGATATGTTATCAGATGGTAAGTTGTTAAAAGAAATAACACCTACAAAAGGTATGGGTCAAAGTAAACTAGATGGAATCCCGAAAAACAAATCTTGTAAAACATGTAATCTTCCTAAAAGGCCATATTCAGTGAATAATTCACGTTATTTCAACATTTTTAATACTTTACTTGATTACTCAAGTTTATATTGAATATTGTTCAGCTGTGATACCTCAAAAATCTGTTTTACTTATTAAAGATGCATTATGCAAGAGCTAAATCTGTCTATTCTGGGTCTTTTTCTGACTACAATTGTTAATTATTTTAGGCAATTTCCACATGACGAGCACATAATCAAGACCATCTTAAAATTACACTGATAGGTCATTCACTCGTCAAAAGACATAAAAGATTTCCATGCTTTATCAGATCTTATTTGTGACAAGCCTGAAGTTTTCGAGTCAAAATTAACCGTTGTACTCTCTAGGACATCGAATGGCTGAGATATTGAATGAATTAGAACATCTGTGCCATATGATAATTTAACCTTAAAATGGATAATCAGGAATTTGTTTAATATCAAACCTGGGGCCTGTTTCACGAAATTTTAACTAAGATAAAATCCAAATTTTAGTAATTTGATTGGTTAATATTAGATTGATTTAAGTGCTTAGTCAATCAAAATTGAAGTATCTACTAAAATTTGGATTTTATCTTTAGATAAAATTTCGTGAAACAGGACCCAATTGGCCCTTTGACAATCAAGACTATAACTTCCCTTAAAATAATGTAATTTAACTGAAGTTTTCAATATACCGGTATATCTTCTTTTGGTCATTATCTGTTTTTTTAACTATATAGCACGAACTGACAGCCATTCATCTAAGATAATGCATCTTTAAGCATATTTTATTCATTAATGCCATTATTTACTGTAATGAAAATTTACCATGGCAGACACATATATAATATATTATTTTTTCAAAAAAAAGGCTTCATGAATATGGCAATTGTACCAGGCACAGTACATCATTGATATTTCTACATTAATTTTCCCTCATTGCTTTATTGTGTTAAAATATCTATTATTAAAAAAATATCAAATATTGATCATCTTTATATGTTTTATTGTGTAAGTAGATTTTTTAATAATATAAATTAATAACTAAAATATTAAAGATACATTATGTAAGATTTAGATAAAGAACTAGCCATTCTTGCTATAATAGTTTGAAAGTAGATGATGTAAAATGAATAATTTGAAAATTTCATTCAAATTACTCTATTGCAGTTGAAGATATTAGCCTTTGAAGGTTTGACAGACGTGTGCAATAATTTCAACCACCGTACTGGTTGATCGAAGCTAAGTCTTGGTCCTCCATATTTGATTAAATCAAAGTATCGCTGAACCATTCTAATCTATTTAATATCGGAGAAATCTGATGCCATCGAGAGTTGATTAAGGCCTCGATCAGTTAATTAATGTCTAATTAATACTTTAGAAAACATTTCAGGCCTAAAGAAAGACCTGAAATAGGCAGATTTAGCTCTTGCATAATGTATGTTTAATAAATTGTCTCTTTGGATTAATTTTTTTGCAAAATAAAGTCTGATTTCTGAAATAGATATTATAGGTAAAATTAATTATATTTATGATATGTTCGTTAAAAAAGTATTAACATTAGTGTTACGTTGCTCTTATTTTTTGAAAAAAATTTCACAAGTTGTTTTCCTTTATTTTGTTAATGTAGAATGGTTATGAACTGCTCTTTTCATTTTATTTGTTTTATTTGTTTCGTTTGAATTTGATTTATCTGTTTAGTTTTTGATTGTTTAATTTTTGTTAATGAAGCTGATTCTTTTAAACTTCGTTTTTTATTTTTGAACTCTACTTGGTGTAGGTGTTCATCAGGTAATACCTCGACTGAGTTCAATATAGAGATTAGCCGGTTGATTTGTTGGATATAAACCTTTGAATAATAGCGCCTAACAGGCAGCTGTGTTTAATTACGCTCTCCTGATTTTGATTGTTTCTGTGTGTTTGAAGTATATGTTTGTGATATGCGCTTAGAAACACTTCACGTGTAATGAAGCACTATATAAATCAAACAATAATAATAATAATAATAATGTATATTTAAATATTGATTATCTTTATACGTTTTATTGTGTAAGTAGATTTTTTAATAATATAAATTAATAACTATTTTAAAATAAAAAATCTGATCCTTCCACTTTGGCTTTGCATTCATTTTATTCATTTATTGAAATGTTATCAATTACTACATCAATATTATGACATTTCAGTGGTTTTCCTGTAACATAGTCATTGTTTAAATGTGACTTATCCAAAATTTAACCAGCGGCTGCCAGGCAGGATACGCCCACATTTTGCAAGAGATGGATAGAGAACAATTTAAGAACTAACAGGATTTTTTGTACAATCAGGGGCAATAATCCAGAAAGTTATGGCCTGAAAAGTGCAAATATCAAAAGAGACAGAGATTTTTGGGATATAAAGATAATGTTTTAAGTTTCATAAAAATTGTGACCTCTAGAGGGTTCACATCCTTCGTATTACACACTTCTACACAATTTGCATACAAAGAGTGGCCATTTTGTTGGGCAGTTTCATTTCCATTTTCACGAAATATGAATTCAACCTTCATTATGGTGGAATGGTGATGTATTTAAACGATTTTTAAAATCTGAAAAAACTTATGACCTCTTGAGAGTCTGCAAGCTAAAAATGTGATTTTTCGAAACAATCAGGGGCCATAATCCATGAAGTTAAGTTTGGGTATCCGCGATTATCAAAAGGAATCAAGATCTTAGTGTGTAATGGTGATATATTCAAACGATTTTTTAAATCGGATAAAAATTTCGTACAATCAGGGGTCTTAAATCAGGAAGTTATGGTCCGATATGCGCGAATATCGAAAGTAATCGAGATCTGTGGCTTATAAACATGCATTTCAAGTTTCATCAAAATTACATGTAGATGAAACTTGTGACCTCCAGAGGGTCCACAACCCTGATACACAATATTTTGACATTATTTGCAAACGAGGGACGGCCATTTTGTCAGTTTCATTCCGATTTTTACGAAATTTGAACTCAACCATCCTTAGGGTGTAACAGTGATATATTGTAACGTTTTTTTAAATCAGATAAAAATTGTGACCTCTATGGGGTCCACAAGCTAAAATCGCGATTTTTCGTACAATCGGGGGCCATAATTCAGGAAGTTATGGTCCGATATGTGCAAATATCGAAAGTAACCGAGATCTGTAGGTTATAAACATGCACTTCAAGTTTCATCAAAATCAGATGAAAATTGTAACCTCCAGATGGTCTACTACCCTGATACACAATATTTTGACACTATTAGTATTAGCGAACGAGGGGTGGTCATTTTGTCCGTCAGTTTCAGGCCAATTTTTACGAAATTTGAACTTAACCATCCTTAGGGTGTAACGGTGATATATTGTAACGTTTTTTTAAATCGGATAAAAATTGTGACCTCTTTGGGGTCCACAAGCTAAAAACACGATTTTTCGTACAATCAGGGGCCATAATTCAAGAAGTTATGGTCCAATATGCGCGAATATCGAAAGGAACCGAGATCTGTGGGTTATAAACATACATTTCAAGTTTAAACCAAATTTAATAAAAATTGTGACCTCCAGAGGGTCCAAAACCCTGATACACAATATTTTGACACTATTTGCGAACAAGGGGCGGCCATTTTGTCTGTCTTTTTCGGTCCAATTTTTACGAAATTAGTACTCAACCCTCCTTAGGGTGCAACGGTGATATATAGTAACGTTTTTTTAAATCGGATAAAAATTGTGACCTCTTTGGAGTCCACAAGCTAAAAACGTGATTTTTCGTACAATCAGGGGCCACAATTCAGGAAGTTATGGTCCGATATGTGTGAATATCAAAAGGAACCGAGATCTGTGGGTTGTAAACATACATTTCAAGTTTAAACCAAATCGGATAAAAAATTGTGACCTCTACAGTGTTCACAAGCTACAGTTTGTAAAAACGTGATTTTTTGTACAATCAGGGGGCATAATCCATGAAGTTACAGTCCTATACATGCCAATATCGAAAGGAGCCGAGATCTTATGGTGATAAACCTATATTTCAAGTTGCATTGAAATCGGATAAAAATTGTGACCTGTAGACTGGCAATTGTGGACAGACGTCCGGACGGACGGACGGACGGACGGACAGGGGCGACAACAATATACGTCCACATGAAAATCTGGGCATATAAAAAGATAGGTTGCCAGGCAGCAGCTATATCGTCTGGCAGTTAACAAGAGTTGTCGCATATTTTTACTTTTTTCGGTAATGAAACATTTATAATACATTAAAATCTGATTAAGAGGAACAACTCATTAAGTAATTATCAGAAAACCATTAGAATTTGTTTGGTTTTTATAAAGTTCTGCTCCATGCTAACGTTTAGTATACGAAACTTTTAACATCGTGGATTTAGCTGTTCAAGTTATCAAAATTTATTGAAAATCAATATACTTGTTCGTCTCAAGACCTTAAACACTGTGTATAAATTTAAAGTCAATAGGATATTAACTTTAGCCTCTAGAGCGTCCACAAGATTTTTTCAAAGTGATCAAGGGCCATAACTCTGGCAAGAATTATTAGAAATCGCTGAAAATCATTAGGATTCTTCGTCTCATGACCTTAAACACTGTGTATCAATTTAAAGTCAATCGGATATTAACTTTAGCCTCTGGAGCATCCACAAGATTTTTCAAAGTGATCAAAGGCCATAACTCTGGCAGTAATTATCGGAAATCGCTGAAAATCAATAGGCTTCTTTGTCTCATGACCTTAAACACTGTGTATAAACTTAAAGTCAACCGGATATGAATTTTAGCCTCTAGAGCGTCCACAAGATTTTTCAAAGTGATCAACGGCCATAACTCTGGCAAAAATTATCGGAAATCGCTGAAAATCAATAGGCTTCTTCATCTCATGACAGGGACGACAACAATACACGACCACATTTCAATGTGGGCGTATAAAAATGGTTTCATCTGTTAATGTTAGCCCGAAAATACTTTCTGAACTTTCTGGATTTTAATTCTATCAATCCCAAAAATAGTGACAACCATGCATGCACCAACATCAGAGACTATCTCACTGCTGACGCTTGTAAACTACTTGTGAGATCACTGATTTTATCAAGGATTGATTATTGTAATAGTTTACTCTATGGAATTGCACAAGCACGTCTAGCCAAGAACCAGAAAGTTCTTAAAGGAGCTAAATCGCTAACATTTGGGACCTAGAAATTGACAAAAGTGGGTCGCAATGCATATAATACAGTAGAATCTGTATTAAGCAGCCACCCAAGGGAATTTTCACAACTGACCGCTTAACGGGAGTGGCCTCTTAATAAAATCTTGTTGCTTTTTGTGCCGACATAAATTAAATATTACTCTTGGATGCATTGGAAGCGGTAAATTTGGCCGTCGCTGAATCTTGCGCCGAACGAAAATTCTTTACTCAAATCTCGGACATAACTTAACGGGAGTGGCCTCTTAATAAAATCTCGTTGCTTTTTGTGCCGACATAAATTAAATATTACACTTGGATGCATTGGAAGCGGTAAATTTGGCCGTCGCTGAATCTTGCGCCGGACGAAAATTCTTTACTCAAATCTCGGACATAACTTCTGTAAACTTGTCATTTTGTACCAACCTTCGATACTACTGTCTACCATTGTGATGCATTCGATAATATTTATCCATTTTTGTGAAGAAAATCGATTAATTCATTTTATTTTATCAAAAAAGCACATGAACAAAAAACATCGCTAATTTTATCTCCTATTTACAGGGGGTGTAACTCTGTATGTAATATTATAGGAGGCGCTAAGAGAGATACTAGATGATCGTGACAAAACTCGGTACTTTTATTTTATTCAATCAGTATCAAATAATGTGTCGTTACGCGTGAAAACAATGATCAGGTTAGTCGTTTAATAAAACAAAAGATTAATTAACAGATAATCCCGGGTTGATTGTTATGTTTACATTTCTTTTTACCTGATCAGTGGGGGTCCAGTTAATTAACTACTACTCACGGGATTAGCGGGGGTGTTACAAAGAACGACAAGATGGTATCATTCAACAATGGCCGTTGAATGGGCGATGTTTTGTTGAATTTATTAGTAAAATAGTGACCGCTGGCCGCGTTAGAGGAGTGACCGTTGAATAAAGAGATGAAACAACAGAATTTCTACGGGGGAAATTTATCGTGACCGCTTACAAGAAGATGTCGCTGAATAGGAGTGGCTGCTCATACAGATTCTACTGTACTGTAATATGAATGTATATAAACTGTTTTACATTCAATGGTTACCGTTTTTACTCCAATTTCAAATCAGTTATGTTCGGCGAAATAAGCCAGCAGTCTCAAGCGAGTGCAAATTTCTAGCATCCGGTTATTCCAGTCTACAAACGCTGTTTGATTTGGTGTAATGTGTCTAGCCTCGTCCCTCGTGTCTCTTGATACAACTGGGGCTGAAGCGCATTATGGTACACGATTTGTGTACCAATGGTAAAATGTTTATTTTGTCTTAAATATTGGATATCAAAAGCCCATCTTTTCCTGGTAAGATCACAACATGAATGTTGATTTAATTTGACAAATAAATCGTCTTTTGAATGTTGAAGATTTTGGATGATATTGAGTTAGAGACTTAGCTACTTTAATATTGCAGCCCGTATAGTAACAAGGACACATAAGTTTGATCACATCCAGAATGTGCTAGTTTCTTTACACTGGTTACCTGCTGAGGCGCGAGTGAAATACAAAATACTAACATTAGTGAATAAATATCGCAGCTGGTCAATACTTATCTGAACTCTTATTTGACTACAACCCCATTAGATCACTTCGCTCTCAAAATAAACAGTCACTAGTTGTTCCAAGATATAATTTAAAGTCATAGATGGGTATAGGTCTTTCAGTTCAGCTGGTCCTAGATTATGGTACAAACTTCCACAACAGATCAAGAATCAACAAACTTTTAATCCGCACTAATGACTTTCCTGTTTCGACAGTTTTACCAGTAGAGTCATTACTAAAAGCGTTTTGAACATGTGTCAACATGGAGATGACGCTATAGATAACAGTTGACGGTTCTCGCT